TTATCCAAGTATCGATCCTTATTTTCTTAAAGGATTTGACGCTTTATTAGGTCCTTATGTTAACGTTATTAAATTCCTGTCTGGCCCTTTCGCTCAATTAACGACGCAGGTAAAGCGAATGGGCCGAAAGTTTGCGCAATTAAATTAGAGAAGCTTTTCTCAAAAATTTAATTTTTTGTACACGCTCCCAAAAAGACCTACTTTACGGACTCAAAAGTGTCCATAAAATGAGTCTTTTCCGGACTCATTTCACTCACCAGATCCCCCTGTACCACGTTTTACTCTGAAATGTTTAAATCCCTAAAGATCCTTATGATGGTATCTTTAGAAAAGGTCACCGAATCTCCCTATTTTCCTACCTCCCAGACCTCACTGTGTCCCAAAAAGCTCCGAGGATCCTTATGTTGCTATTTTGGAAATGTGTCCGAATCTCTCTTTCCTGGAAGATATTGCATACTCTAAGACACCCCGGTGCAACGTTTTGGCCAAAAATTTTCAAACCCCTAAAAATCATTATGACGTTTTCTTGGGAAAAAGTCATAGAGTTTCCCTTTTTCGCGGGGGATATTCCCAGACGCTCGGCGCCACTTTTTTCCCCAAAACTCAGCCCCGAGAATCCTTATGTTGGTATTTTGAAAAAGTGCCACTGAATCTCTCTTTCCTGGGGGATATTCCATACCCTCCCAGACACCCCCAGTATCACCTTTTCCATCGAAATGTTCAAAGTACTGACCATCATCATGATGGTTTTTGGGGAAAGAGCTACCTGAACCTTCCTTTTCTTAAGGGGTCTAGAACACCCTCCAGACTCCCCTTGAACAATTTGGTGCGAAACATATAGCATCGGGTAGTCTGGGTTCCTAAAAAAGGTTCTAGTAGTTTCAACAGTTTTGAGGGAAGGAGGAGGGGTATGGAATACCAAAAAAAACTAGGTGGCCCATTTTCTAAAAAACAATTAATCCTAAGGACTCGAGGGACTGGCAAGAATTGTATTCGCTCCAGACCCCTGTACTTACTTTGTTTTCCCCCAAAAGGTGCATATCTTTCAGACACATCATGATGGTCTTTCGGAAAGGGGCGACTGAATACTTGTTGCCTCTTCTTGAGATATAATCCCTTTTGGGACCTTTTTTTGGAAAAGGGTCAGTTGGGAAAAGGGAAGTTGTCACCGAATTTACCTTTTTTCCCGGGAGGCCTTTCTTTTTAGCGCATTTCCACAAAAATAAAAAAAAATGCGCTATTGTGGCCACTTTGTCCGTCCGTCCGTCCGTCCGACCGTCCGTCCGCTAACTTTGCGGCGCTACTAGTTCTTTATCTTAAGAGCTATTGTTCTTCTTTTTTCGCTATTTGGTTCGTTATGGTGTCGAGTCTTGTACCAAAGAAGGAATTTTTTCTGTACCGCTTACAAAAAAAGTTATTGTAAAAAAAACAAAAAACCGTTTTTTACATGTTCCATGATTTTACACTTTTGCCGTTTATTAACGATCCTAGAGATCGTTTATAATTTTGCATTGCTATCTGTTGTCTGCCTGTTGGTCTGTCCGTCTGTTCCTTTGTCTGTCTGTCCATCTATCTGTCCGTGTGAACGATAACTTTGTTTAGAAATGTTCGATCGCTTTTACATCTCCGTTAGTTATGAACTGAATTGCATGAAATTCAATATGGGCATAGATTTAGCCATATAATACGCAATGCCAAAAGTTGAATCGAATCGATTCAAAATTCACAGTGCCCTTTTCGCATCTCGACCATTTATAAACCGAATTGCAAACTTTTTTACTTATAAAAGTATTTGAATGAAATTTGATACATAGGCACTTGGAATAAAGGAAAATCAAACGCCAAATTTCAAAATTTGGTTTTGCGCATGCGCAGTGCCAACTTTTTTATTTATGGAAGAATTTAAACGAAATTTGATACATAGGCACTTGGGATAAAGGAAAAAGAATTTAAATGAAATGTGATACATAGGCACTTGGAATAAAGGAAAATCTAGCGCCAGTTTCAAAATTTTATTTTGCGCATGCGCAGTGCCAACTTTTTTATCTATGAAACTATTTAAGTGAAATTTGATACTTAGGCGCTTGGAACAAAGGAAAATCTAACATTAGTTTTAAAATTTAGGTTTGCGCATGCGCAGTTCCAACTTTCTTATTTAGAAAAGCATTGAAATGAAATTCTTCTCATAAACTGAAATTGAAGTAGCACGTCAACAATGGATTGCCCATGTGCAACGCTATCTTTCATATTTGTGGCCGGATTTTTACGATTTTAACAGAAGTGGCATCTTATAAATGGGAAATGAATGCAAGTGGAAATGCGCTTTATGTAAATCGTTTACGATTACTTTTTAACTTGTTTTTCCTTCTCGGTGATACGTTTTACCTCAAAATGTCCTCAGCCCCTAGGACCTCATGCTGCTATTTTGGCAATGGGTCACCGAAACTCCCTTTCCTGGGGAGTATTCCATATTCTTTAGACACCTCCGGTGCTACGTTATGCTCCAAAATGTTCAAAGGCCTAAAGGTCCTTATGTTGGTTTTTTGGGTAGTAACCGAATTTCCCTCTTTTTCCTGGGTGGTATTCCTTACCTCCCAGAACCTCGGCGCTACGTTTTGCTCCAAAATGTTCCCAGTCCCGAGGATCCTTATGTTATTATTTTGGTAATGGGTCACCGAATCTTTCTTTCTTGGGGGCTATTCCTCAGGATCTTTAAGACAGTTTTGAATTATCAAATCCCCCTCCCCCTCCTTCGCTCCAAGAATTCGCTTCCAAGAAGATTGAGTGACGTATCATAAGAATTCTGCTGAATTTGAACATTTTAAGGCAGTAAATCTTCCTCTTACACCTGGGGAGTATTCCAGACTCCCAGGCCCCTCGGTGCTCCGTTTTGCCCCAAAATGTTCCAAGCCCTAAAGATCTTAATGACGGTTTCTTGAGAAAAGGTCACCGAATCTCTCTTTTTCCTTGGGGATATTTATTCCATATACCTCCTAGGTCTCCCGGTGCAACGGTTTGTTCTCAAGGGTTCAAATCCCTAAAGAACCTTATGTTGTTTTCGTGGGGAAAGGCCATCGAATTTTCCATTTTTCCTTGGGGGGGGGGGGGGGGGATTCCATACTTCCCAGGACCTCGGCGCCACGTTTTGCCCTAAAATGTTCTCAGTCCCGAGGACCTTAATGCGTTTCTTTAGTAATGGGCCATTTCCCCCCCCCCCCCCCGCTTTCTCCGGTGCCACATTTGTAACCAAAATGTTCTCATCCCCGATGATCCTTCTGTTACTATTTTGAAAATGGTTCACCGAACCTTCTCCTTTCTAAGGGGCATTCCTCAGCAGGATCTGTACGACAGTTTCGAGTTATCAAATCTCCTCCCCCCCCCCCAAACTCTTCGCCCCAGGAAAACAAAAATGAGAGGCGTTTCAATCATAAGCATTCTGTTGACAAAAAATCTCCCTCGTACACCATACTCTATGTGATGGTGTTTTGAGAAAGAGCTACCCTAACTTTTCATTCTTAGGGGGCCTAGAACACCCTCCAGACTCCCCGGTGATAGGGTGCGTAAGAAAGTTTAAGGTTCAGGTATGACTATAAATATTTAAGCACTTTTCTGGGGGTGTATGGGGCGTATGGAATAGTCCCCAGGTGCGCGAGGAAGATTTGGCGACTCTGGAATGTCCACCTTGAATGGAAGAGTTGGTGTTCTTTTCCTCAAACAAATCCTAGGTAGTTTCAACAGTTTGGTGGAAAACGTAGCACCTGTTTTCTAGAGTGGGGAGGGAGAGAGGTCATAGAATACCCCCAGACAAAATGGAAAACTTGATGGCTCTTTTCTAAAAAACAATCATAGGGATCCTAAGGACTAGAGGAACTGTAGAGTTTCGTCCCTCCCAAAATTTCACAGCTGTCAGACACATCATGAATCATGATGGTCTTCCGGAAATGGTCGACTGAATTCTCCTTTCTTGAGGGATATTCTCTTTTGAAACCTCTTAAAGCTTTCGAAGTTTTCAAAGGTCCGCACGAAAAGCTTGGCTCTTCGGTGCTACACAGAACCTTTCTTTCCTGGGTGGTATTAAACTCCACGGTGCTACGTTTGGTTCTTATGATGCTTTTTTGGGGGAGGTAATTGTGGCTAACACTAATACCACCCGCACCTCATTACATTTAAAAACTGTGTCAAGCGTTGCCAATTTTCCAACTTGATTTGTTATTCTAAGTAGTTACACCAACACAAAGTAGTTCAAATGAGTTATCGATAGTAGTCCTAATGCATATTGAGGTTAGAATTCTGCGAATAACTTATTTTCAAATTTGGCGTAAATTTCTCACTTATAATTGCACAAGAGGTTTGTATTTTACCGAGTAAATTTGGGTTGTTAAGGTAATGAAAATCTGTTGCCTAGCAATTAGACGAGAAAAACTGTCAACTAATAAAAATGCGACACCGCAGGTGGAGCATTTTTAGGTTGACAGTTTTTCGAGTGCTAAAAGGAAACAGATTTGTGCAACAACCCAAATTTATCGGAAGTGTAATTCTGTTGCCTAGCAATTAGACGAGAAAAACTGTGCAGGTAACTTTTGCCGCTAAGTGACAATTGCACTGCGGCTTATGATTTTTTATACATGAGTTGAATTGACACCGCAGGTGGAGCATTTTTAGGTTGACAGTTTTTCGAGTTCAATTGCTAAAAGGAAACAGATTTGAGTTGCAACAACCCAAATTTACTCGGCATAAATACAAACCTCGAGTGTAATTCGGCAGGACAATTTAACGAACAAGAAATTCACCAAACTATTTAATTATTGACAGACGTCAAACTAGTCATATGGGAAATGATAATGCGATAATTGGTTCGAAAATGAATAGTGAAAAAACCACTAGTGCATTTGTCGCTGGAAAAGATGCAGGTAACTTTTGCCGCTGGCAAAGTGACAATTGCACTGCGGCTTATGCAATTTTTTATACATGAGTTGAATTGTCAAACAAAAAAGAGGGAATTATTTGCAAGACATATTTTATTACTCAATAGATTGACAATTAAATACTATCGTAATCAGGAGGAATGGCAGCAGTTTTAATCAAAACGGTCTTGTAATACTTCTCCGGCCCATGGTGGATGCTATCCACAACTGGAACTTTTCGCATAGTCTTCATCCAGGCCCGCAACAACTTAAAGTCATCGGCGCCAACCGGCAGCTTCTCACCCAGAACTATCGCAACGGTACCGGCTCGTTCACCCCACGGCCACAGCATGTAGTCGACCATCCCTGGATTGTCCCCGCCGAAAAACGTCGTGTTACGCCTCTTCAATTCGTCCTCGAACACCTGCAGGTGAGGAGTCAGCTCGTCGAGCCACTCCTTTGCCGATTTCTTCTCTTGCCCCGCGATCAGCTTGGAGAAGACACCGCCGAGCGGGCCGAACTTTTTCATTAGCTCCTTGTCCTGTTCGCGCGCCGGCGGCTCGGCGGGGTACAGAGGAGGGTCGGGGTAGTGCTCGTCCAAATAGTCGGCGATATCCAAGCTTTCGACGACGATCTTCGAGCCGATGTCCAACGCCGGCACTTTTCCTTCGGGATGCACTTCCTTGTACCACTCCGGTTTGTTGATCAAGTTTAGGTTGACGATGTCGTGGGGGACGTTTTTCGCGAGAAGGACCAGACGTACGCGATGGGCGTAAGGGCAGTACTCCATGGAGTAGAGGCGCAATTTTCCTTCGACTTTCGGCGGTTTTTCCGAACCTAAAATTGTCCTTAAGAAATCGAATTGGATTAGAAGGGACTGTATTACCGGTTGCTAAATGTTTGGCGCTCATGTTGCAAGGGAATCACTGGGAATGTGACAATTTAACCATGAATGAAGTTCTCAGTCTTCAGGTTAGTAACCTTGAACTCGTCGATTGCAGATTGCACCACAGACCATCAAATTGCACTAAGGGCGATACCACAGAATATATTTTTTTCTTTCGTGAAGTAGGTATTTTGAAAACTACTGGGATAATAGACCACTTACACTCTTTTAGTTCTGAATTCTACCGCTAGGCGGTTGTTGTCGCACTTTGGTATTGGATCAGCTGATCTCTGTGTATTTTCGTATTAGTGTGAGTAAAGAATAAGAAATATGAGTATACAAGAGTTAAAATGTGTGCTAAAGGAATTAGGAACTAAAACTACTGGCAATAAGCAACAATTAGAAAAACGGTAAGTATTTACTTATGTTTGAATAAATGAGTTGTACTAATTCTAACCTATGGACCATTTTAGGTTACGTATTTGGAAAGAGGAAAACTTAAATAAATCTCTGTTTGATGTAAAGGTGTTAAAAGTTCCGCATTTGGAATATCCCAATGATGCTTTATTTAAGAAGCTTATTGGTCCCTAAGAGCCTTCGTGGGTCATGATAAACGCTGTCTATCCAAGAAGCTTCAATAATTTCCACAACGTTTTAATGCTCTTTAAACCATTCAACAAGTCGTCTAGAGCCCTTGAAGTCGAGTCCTTAAGAGCTTTTAAAAGGCTTAAAAAACATAAGCATAAAGCCGTGATACGTCTCCCCAATCCCGAAAAGTTCCAGTTCCCCAGACACTCCGGTGCTACGTTTCCCACCAACTTGTTGAAAGTACTTAAGATCATTTTTTGGGAAAGGGGCACAATATCTTCTATTTTTTTGGAACCAGTTCTGCCCCCTCAAACCACCCGGTATTACGTATCTCCGAAAATATTCATTATTCAAGGCCTTAAATTCTTTTGGTTTTTGGGGAAGAAGGCACTGAACCTTTCTTTCCTAGGTTTTCTTTCGTTTTCTGTCAAAACTCGAAAGGCTTCATGATCCTTATCGCGGTTCTGTCTTCCACTTCAGACCCCCTCCCGCCCCCGTGCAACGTTTTCGCCCAAAATGTGCAAGGTCCTTATGTTATTGGTTAATTTGGTATACAATCTTCCCTCACCTTCACACTCCACCTCCAAGGGAAGGAACCTTATCCCGAAAAAAAAAAATTATCAGGAGGATCTGGTTTGAACATTTTGGGAGAAAACCCGAAAACGTAGCACCGCCGCCTGTGTGGGGATACAGCAAAAATGGATGAGGTAGCAAAGAGTTGGTAAAATCTCTACTTTTCACGCGCTTGTTTTTTTTTAGCTCACCGGTTTTAATTACAAGCCGTGCTATGACTTGGCAACGCTGCATTTGCTCATATTACAGTGCTGTCGTTCGTATGGAAGATTTGTCATGACGTTTTGCGTATGAAAATTATAGGCTTCTTAATTTTGATACACCGTGTATGTGTTTCTCAAAGTGTGGCTGCCTATTCTGTGGTTTTAGGTTAGGTGAGATGTGTAAGAAGAAAAACAACTAAAGCAAAACGTTTTTATTTATCAAAATGCGCTTTTAGATTTTGAAAAATGTGTCGCCGTTGAAATATCACCTCTCGTTCGCAAAATCGGGCCATCAAAAACGGACACTGGTACTGAATCTTCTCCAGGCAGACGGTGCCCGCTAAACTTTTCGTGAACTTAAACACGCTGGTCGATCTCACTGAAATCTTCCAGTTATTCTCACCGATGACGCACCAGTGCAGTACTTACGGCACAGAAGCCCCCCCAGCATGCAGGTGTGATGATTCGACACTATGAAGTAAGTGCCATGTTCCGAGCTGACGTCGAAATGCGCGACCGCCCTGTTGCTCAGGTACGGCCAGTGAGACAAATTCTCGGTGTACTCGGCCGAGTACTGCCACCTGTTGTAGTTACCGCTTTCGGAGAGGATGTCGAACTCCACTCTAAAATTGAAAGTTAAGTCGGGAATTGTCCCGTTCGTGTGGCCTCACATTGTCGGGTTGAGATGCTTCATGTTCCCGAAGTCCGCGACGTACTCCCAAACGTTGGCGGGGGCGACGTTTTTGATTATCGCGGACTCCTGATAATCGTAGAGGTGACATCGGAATAGCAGGTAACTGACGGCGATAATCGTACCGGCTAGTAGGAAGGTAAGGCGCCTCTTTACGACACGTTGCATTTTGGCGGAGTGATGCTGGCTTCTTAAAATAGACGCAGGACAGGATGCTGGCTATCATTTTAACATAAAAGATAAATAAACATAAAAGCTGGGTGTTTAAATTGTAAATTTACAGCTGTTGCAAGGTCACTGACTTTGGTTCCGTCCTCCACCACTGCTGTTGATTTGGTTTGGGAAGGGATAGTTAGGATGGGGTTGGCACAACATGAAGGAATCGTCCTGTTTCAAATAGCCCAAGAAGGAATCCATTTTCAGGTTTCTCTTTAGGAAAAGGGTAGTACAGGGTCAAGGTCACGAATGCGTGTCTGTCTGTCTGTGTTTAAATTACCACCAACGTGACTAGGAAAGTGTCTACTAAACCCAAAGAACAAGTGCCACACTGTAAAAGAACCCACTATACATTTACAAATATCCATGCCCGAACCAGGGACCCTTAGTACCACAGTCCAGCTTCAACTGAACTGCGCCACACGGGCCGGGAATCTGGGGGGGGGGGGGCGTGGGAAAGATTCTGTGACCCTTTACCAAAATAGAAACGTAAGGATTCTCGGGGCTGAGAATATTTTGAGGCAAATCGCAGCACCGTGGGGTCTGGAGGGTATGGAATATCCCAAGGAAACAAAAGGCAGATTCGGTGACATTTTCGCAAAAAACCAACGTAAGGATCTTTAGGGCTTTCAACATTTTGAGGTAATAATTAGCATCAAAAGTTATAGGCTAGAGAAAAATTTCGAAAGAAAATTCAAAGGGCTGTAACTTTTGTACTAGTAGCCCAATCTTGGAATTGTTTGAAATTATGGATTCTACAGGCTACATTCTATAAGAAAATTTTTTTTCCGGGTCGATCTGAGACAATCTTTTTTTCAAGACCCAAAAAAAAGCAGTGTATAACCTTCCTTTTTTACCAAAAATCGACTGCACCAAAATTTCTCGGGAAACACTTTTTCTTATTAATTTTGGACTTTGGTGCGTAGAATCCAAAACAATTCGTACTTTTTCGATCAGACTTCTCAATCAAAAGTTACAGGCTAGAAAAAAATTTCGAAAGAAAAGTCAAAGGGCTGTAACTTTGGAACTAGTAGCCCAATCTTGGAACTGTTTGAAATTATGGATTCTACAGGCCACATTCTATAAGAAAATTTTTTTTCCGGGTCGAGCTGAGACAATTTTTTTTTCAGGCCTCAAAAAAAGGCAGTGTATAACCTTCCTTTTTTTTACCAAAAATCGACTGCACCAAAATTTCTCGGGAAAACACTTTTCCTTATTAATTTTGGTGCGTAGAATCCAAAACAATTCGTACTTTTTCGATCAGACTTCTCAATCTGGGTGGCATCGAATAATTAACTCACCAAGAACAAAGGGGGATTCGGTAAATGTTTTCCAAAATAGCAACATAAGGATCCTCGGGGCTGGGAATATTTTGGGGCAAAACATAGCACGACCGAGGGGCCTGGAATATCCTCCAGGAAAGGGAGATTCGGTAAATCTTTAACAAAATAGGAACGTATATGTGTCCTGGAGGTTATTTAAGATGTCGAATCCTCCCAGGAGAAAGGAAGATTCTGTGAGCTCTTCCCAGGAAACCAACATAAGGATCTTTTTTTTCTCAAATCTGCATAAGGATTTTTAGGGTTTTGAACATTTTGGAAGCACCAAGGCGTCTGGGGGTATGGGAAACCCCCCAGAGAAGAGAGTAGGTTCGGTGATCCTTTACCAAGATAGTAACATAAGCATGTGTTCGTTCCCCAAAAACACCATGGGGGTCCTAAAGATTTCCAGCAATTTATGGGAAACCCGGAGGGTTTGGAACATTCCCAGATTGAGTCTTTTCGAAAGAAGTCCTCTTATGGCCGTCTGAACCCACAAATTTAAGCGGAGCTTAACTTAAAATAATCGTTCTCATACACTTTAAGCTATGCTTAAGCTAAGCTCAGCTGGAATTTGCTGGTGCAAATGGTAAAAAAAAATAGAAAACTGTGAAACACTTTAAGAGTGCCCTCGAAATTAATAATCGTATAGGCTCCGCACACGTCTTTAGAGTCTGTAGACATTTTTTACGATTTTACACCATATGAATTAGCTAGTTACGTACAACTTGAAACGATCTCATGAACAACGAATAAACAAAGCTAGTAAGGAAAAGTGATTCTTTTCTGGCCGCTCTGTATAGCGCGTATGAATGAGGTCCGTAGTTCTACTGTCCCCCTTTTTAGTTCCAATGTCTCGAATATATTATGGTTTTCTTTTACTGAGAAAGTAAGAAAGTAGAGAGTATGTTCTCAGGGGATGCTGTAGATAAGCCCATTATTAAAGATGAGGTAAAAGTGGAAGAAGATGCACCTGAAATTATTGGAGGCAGTCATGAAATGGTTGAAGCACGTACAATACAAGATTTTTGTAAGGTCGAGGTGTACGAACGGTACAGTGCACCTTCTCCCAAGGAAGCTACCCCTAAGCTTGAAGATCTAGTTCTGCACAAGTGCTTTCAATGTGGCTTCACGACAAAATGGAGGAAAAACTTAAATTCCCATCTCAGAATGCACGACACTTTAGAAATTTTTAATTGTGAACGGTGCGATTTCACTACGAAATACAAACGAAATTTCACCCGCCATCTGCAGGGACACAGCGGATTGGAGGAGTTCAAGTGTGAACAGTGCGATTTCGCCACGAAGCACAAGAGAAATTTCACCAGACACGTCCAGGCGCATCACGGTTTGACACGATTCACATGTAACCGGTGCGATTTCGCCACGAAGCACAAACGGAACTTAATCAGGCACACCGAAACGCATCACGGCCTGAAAAAGTTCAACTGCCGCAAGTGTGCGTTCTCGACGACCTGCGAGATAAACTTCACCAAACACGTGACAGTCCATTGCTCGTCAAAGAAATTTCAATGCGATCAGTGCAATTTCTCGACGAAGTACGAAAGAAACTTAACACGACACGTGCAAACCCACCAACAGTTGGAGGTTTTCAATTGTAACTTTTGCGAGTTCGTCACGAAGTTAAAGACTTATCTTTTGCGTCACGTGCGGAGGCAGCACATGGGAACTAAGCGTCAGATGTCTAGGGAGTTTCGTTGCGAACAATGTAGCTTCGCTACGAGGTGGAAGACGAACTTGATTTCCCATTGGAGACAGCTGCACGTTTTAGAAAGTGCGAGTCGCGGGGAAAATGAAGGGTTACCTTAGCTTTAGTAACTGCATGTATTAAAATCACGTTACTATTAAATTGATAGTCGAATACACTTGTTAATTAAACGTGAATACCTCCCAAAGCGGGGAGTGCCATATCAAAAATGTGATAATACTTAGAGCTACGTTTTGCAATATCGTAAGCAGTTTCGTTTCCGTTGTTCTTCATTTCGGGCTTGATGTAGGGATGCATCAGGAGCAGTTCGATAGTTTTGTACGAGGCACCGTGCGAGGCGGCGATGTGTAGCGGGGTTTGACCTAGAACAGTTCACTTTAAACGTCTGCCATTACGCCAAACCAACCTCCTTCGGTAACGGCGTTGATATCCGCACCGTGCTGTAGCAAACGAACGGCGCAGTTAACGTTGTTCCACTGGCACGCCGAGTGCAGAGGTTGCCATTTCATTTGCGTAACCGCCGAGACCGAGGCGCCGTTCGCCAGGAGGAACGAGACGATCTCGACGTGATCGCTGTAGCAGGCGCGATGTAATGGAGTGTAACCGTCGGAGTCGGTGACGTGGACAAGGTTACGGTCGGAGTCGAGCAGGCGCTGCACCACGTCCAACTTGCCTTTTTCGGAGGCCCACAGGATTTCCTTCTCGGGGGTTTCTGCAAGTGAGACGTGTGAACAAGTGAAATTGTCTTCCCGTTTGTGGTACCGTGGGGATGCTGCTCTTCGTCGATGTCGTTTAGGTCATCATCCCAACCGCTTACGAGAAATCTTTCGCTGCTTTCCATTTTTCTTCAATTTTGTGGTTATGTGGTAAGTAGGTGCAAAGTATTATTTCACGGTGCATTTAAACTACTTTGGTACAGACATGGAACTACTTGTTACGCTTTTAACAAAAAAATTAACTGTGTTCAACAGCTTCTTCAAGAGGCTTCTATGTAGATGTTCCGCCCAAACTAGAATCACGAAACCTCCAAGAATCTAACAACGTTTTTTAAAGGGTTTAAAACCTGTAAGAGTTTCCTTTTTTTGAGGCCCGAAAAAAAATTGTCTCAGATCGACCCGGAAAAAAAAATTTCTTATAGAATGTGCGGCCTGTAGAATCCATAATTTTAAACAGTTCCAAGATTGGGCTACTAGTTCAAAAATTACAGCCCTTTGAATTTTTTTTCGAAATTGGTTTCTAGTGTATAACTTTTGGTTGAGAAGTCTGATCGAAAAAGTACGAATTGATTTGGATTCTACGCACCAAAATTAATCAGAAAAAGTGTTTTCCCGAGAAATTTTGGTGTAGTCGATTTTTGGTAAAAAAGGAAGGTTATACACTGCCTTTTTTTGAGGCCCGAAAAAAAAATTGTCCCAGATCGACCCGGAAAAAATTTTCTTATAGAATATGGCCTGTAGAATCCATAATTTCAAACAGTTCCAAGATTGGGCTACTAGTTCAAAAATTACAGCCCTTTGAATTTTATTTCGAAATTGGTTTCTAGTGTATAACTTTTGGTTGAGAAGTCGGATCGAAAAAGTATGAATTGTTTTGGATTCTACGCACCAAAATTAATAAGAAAAAGTGTTTTCCCGAGACATTTTGGTGCAGTCGATTTTTGGTAAAAAAGGAAGGTTATACACTGCCTTTTTTTGAGCCCCGAAAAAAAAATTGTCTCAGATCGACCCGGAAAAAAAATTTTCTTATAGAATGTGGCCTGTAGAATCCATAATTTCAAACAGTTCCAAGATTGGGCTACTAGTTCAAAAGTTACAGCCCTTTGAATTTTCTTTCGAAATTGGTTTCTAGTCTATAACTTTTGATTGAGAAGTCTGATCGAAAAAGTACGAATTGTTTTGGATTCTACGCACCAAAATTAATAAGAAAAAGTGTTTTCCCGAGAAATTTTGGTGCAGTCGATTTTTGGTAAAAAAGGAAGGTTGTACACTGCCTTTTTTTGAGGCCCGAAAAAAAATTGTCTCAGATCGACCCGGAAAAAAATTTTCTTATAGAATGTGGCCTGTAGAATCCATAATTTCAAACAGTTCCAAGATTGGGCTACTAGTTCAAAAATTACAGCCCTTTGAATTTTTTTTCGAAATTGGTTTCTAGTCCTTTCAAGAATCTCCAATGGTCCCTTAAAACCGTTAGTAATACGCATTAGTAGAGCTTAATAGAATAGCCTTTAAGACTTTTTTTGAGTCCTTAAAAGCTTACTAGACTTTAACAATCTTTAAGAATAGTATAAAATTTTCAAAAGCTTGCAAGAGACTCGCGAAGCCTCCAAAAAATTTCTCGAACCCTTGAAATTGTTCCGTCTCTAGAGATTTTACTAGTAAACGTTTATTAAGGATTTTTAAGAACTGATCCTTTACTGCACTTTTTAAGTGTTTGAAAATCTTCTAAGACCCTTTTAAGGGTCAAATATGTTTTAAAAGAGCAATTTGTATTAGGAGAAAGTATTTTCCAATTACTTTTGTAACGAATCACCCGTTTACCATCCTGTAGCTGTTTATACTCGAAGTTATGACCACACCGTGTGTTTATGGAGTCGACAGCTTTGCTGACCACCCGGTATCTACAAGCGTTTTAAATTAGCCGTTTCGTTACTAAGAAACCGTAGTTTTTGAATTTACTTATTTGCTGTAGTAGACGAGGGCCAAGGTTGTAAAAATAACCTTGGACGAGGGTAGCGTTTTTATTTTGTTTAATTGTTTGTTTTACCACCGATAACGCACGTAAGTATTCAATTGATCAGTTTTGCAACATTTCCTGTAAAAATATTTAAATTGTTTATACAGCCACCAGGAAAGAAGAGAGATAATCAATGTTGTTAAGTTTTAGATCCGTTAACTATCAATTAATCGATTTTAGTTTTCCAATGTTAAACGTAAAACCAGAATAGAAAAGCTGTTTTACGACTTGAAGGCGGTGCGTCTACAGATAGCAGCTTGTTATGTTGACCTCGCCGATTGCACTTAAATTCCAAGGGACAAGAACTCCGTTTTCCGAAATTTCCGTCCGGCAAAGTAACTGAGTATAATTAGTAGCAATTAATTTTAATGAGTTACAGAAAAACCCGTCCGTTTGAGCTGGGCGTTATCTCAAAAGAAGCGCGCTTAAAAAACTTAAAGTCTGACGTCGATCCCGTATTTTTCCGATATTGGGGAAAGGAGTAATTAATTAAAAACTTGGACGTATCGAAGGTATACGCGTACGAAATGGGAATTCCGGTTACTGCCCGCTCGAAATGGACTTTCGATAAAAGGTAAACGCTTAATTTCGGGCGATCTATTTGTTTTTGCACCTTCGCCAGTTGCATTTGTAAGTATCGTATTAAATTTTGACATTACCGTAAATTTCTTGTGTATCTGTATCGTTTTACTTTGCTTTTACATTAAGTTACACGTATTTTTACCTCTTCTTGTTTTTCCACGCTGCTGATATAATGTGCTTCCCAAGAGAATTTCTATTTGAAAAACGTAATACTTGAGGAGTAAATTCTACATCCTCATCGCCTACTTTTTAAAGCAAAATTTGATATGGAGATGTTGAAAGATTGCTAATACAATACTTTTGAATAAAAAAAAATGTATTGGAAGGAAAGAATACATTTCTCTTCTCTATATTTCTGTGATCCTGATGCGACAAAATTAAAACCGGAGAACGTAATACGTAATAAGAGGTCTCGTCAATACATTTTAGGGGCTCTTCGGTTTCTGTGATCGATTCTACTATTTGCATCTGCGGTATATAACAAACAAAAGATGTCGGTCACTAAAAATTGAATCTTTTTAGTGTATTAGGAGAACATAGCGCGTCAGAAGTTGCTTGTCAACAAATTTTAAACACCTCTGAGAGTCTATGATCCTGATATAAACATTGTTTAGTGGCCTTTGTATTTCAACAACATAATACATGGTGCTTGTCAATAAGTATTACACTTTCTTGTGTTCCTGTAATCCTGATACAACATTTTGAAACCAGAGTTTGCACCAGGATACGTGAGAAGATACTTCATCCATAAATTTTGATAGGACATAATCGGCGTATTGATATTTGCCTTTCAACTTGGTGTTTTTGAGCTTCTCTGCTCCTGATACAATATTGTTTATAAGGGAACCATAATGCGTGATATAGCATTTTGTAGTAGAATCTTCTCGCTTTTCGAGTACTATACCTAAGGAGGTATATGTCCATAAATTTTACCTTGTATTCCTCTGCTCCTGATCAAATCTTTAATAAAAGAAAGACATGGGAGCTGAAGAGTATTTTCCAATAAATTTTACATTTCTCTGCTTCTTGTATTCCTTAAAATTAGAAATTTGCATTAGGAGGGCACATTGTGTGATTCTTTTCCAGTAACTTTTAAATCTTGCGTTTCTCTGCTCCTAATTCAATATTTCTTAAAAGAGTAAATTCGAATTAAGATAAAATAATACACTAAAAAGCGTTCTCCAATTACTTTAACACCTCATTGAGTTTCTGTGGTCCTGATAAATCATTTTAAAAACAAAATTTTATTAGGACTGCATAATACGTGATGATGATCTCCTCGTAGATTTTACGTCTTTGTGCGTATCTCTCCTGTTGATACAAATGTTTTGAACAAAAATTTGTATGTGGAGAATATAATATTCGAGAAGATATTTTACGCGTCCTTGAGGTTCTGTGATCCTGATACGTCATGTTTGAATAAATTTTACATTTTTTTTGCTTCTATAACCCTAATCACCTACTAAGCAAAATTTGATCAGGAGATGTTGAAAGACTTCTTCTAGTGGTTTCTATGCCCCTGGTAAGAACTTGATGATAGTTTTCCATTGCATTGTATACCATCGTCCGTTTCTCTCCTCCCAATACAATACTTTTGATTGCAAAAAAATGTATTAGAAGAAAAGAATACTTGAGATGGTATCTTCCAATAAATTTTACTCTTCTTGAGTTTCTGTGGCTCTGATAAGTTATTTTTCAAAGGCGAAATGCTATCAGGATACAGAACATTTTTTCTTTTCTTAATACAGTATTCTTTAAAAGGGCAGTTTGTATCTGGATAACAGAATACGTAAGAAAGTAATTTTAAAAGAGATTCATATTCACAGTTTGAGTTTCTATAGTCCTCATTTGATAGCGAACTATCTACACCTTCTCTACTGCTACAATATTTTTTAAATCAAAAATTTGTATTAGGCGAACATAATAAGTAAGGATAACTTTTTCATCTCGTTCCATAGTCCTAAGCGACATTTTATTAGGTGATACTAAATTTTACTCTTGAATTCTTCTGTTCCTGGGTGTATTTTCTGCAGTGAACGTTGTATTAAGTGAACATAGTGTATGAAGAGGTATCTTTGTATAAATTTGACTCGCGTCTGTGGGGTTCTGACAAATAACTTGTATCGGGAGAACATAATAATCAAAAGATGTCAGTCACTATTTTACCCTTACTTTTGTTTCTGTGGCCCTGATAATAAAAATTTATGCGCGAGCTGGATCGTTTTACATTTTCCTTGATTCCTTGTTATCAGGCGAACATGAAGGCACTTGCCAGCAAATATGAATAACACTTGAGCGCCTATGATTTTGACATGCCATTTATTTCAACAATGTTGTAATTTTAAATTTTGCACATTTTTACGCTTCTGAGATCCTGATATAGAATTTTTTAATACAGAAATTTGTATCAGGAGCATATAAAACCTAGAACACCTTGTGAATTAATATTACGTCTATTAGAGATTGAAAAAAATTACAGCAGGATAACAGAATTTTTATAACAAAATTAGTATCGGGAGAACATAATAGTGATATGACAATTCTGTGGAAAATGGCGGTGATTTACAATATATTACACATACGTTTCTGCAACCCTGATACGGAATTTTTTAATAGATAAGTTTGTATCAGGGACACATAAAACGTGGGATCTGTTGTCATCTAAATTTCCTATTACAATATAATCTCATTTATTGACCTTCTCCTCGTCTGCACCACTGGTTACATTCGCCAGCGCCTTTTCGACCGATTCGTAAGTGGCGAGCTCTTGCTGCGCCGAATTTTCACGCGAAAGGAAGCGGTAGATTACCGGACTTAACAGGTCGCGCTCCACCTTCGGATCGTCCTTCGTCCTCGTCCACCAGCCGACTAAAACACCCACGACGATGGCGATCGTTACGCTGATCAGCGTGTAGAAGTAGAACGATATCTGGAATATGAGCGGCGGTTTCTCGGGATCCGCCTCCGAGGGGTTCGATCTGAAATTCGTGGTCTAAGTATATGGTTGATCGGGGGCGCTTACATGATGGTGATGTTGGCGTCGCAGTGTTCCGTCGACATCGGTTTATACGCGTGCTTGACCCTCCCCATGAAAATGTAGGCCTGGGCGCCGAAGACGAGCATGGCGGTAAGAACTGACGAAACGATTCCTCCCCAGAGGGCCCCCTAGAAGCAACCGTCTTAGCTCGAGCTGGAGTTTCGAGGGTTACCTTCTTATTTACGATTGGAAATAGCATTCCCAAGGAGATGAGGCCCAGAAGAGGTCCGTGGGTCACCGCATGGAAACTCAAGGAGATCTGAACCACTCCGCCCAGCTTTTCAATGACGAATATCAGCCCCAAACACAGCAGCCCGCTGATCACCACGATTACCTTGAGTATCCGATTGGTCGTCCTGGTGGAGATGTGACTGGGAAGTCTAGACCTGAGGAAGTCTTCGTAGACTGTTAGTGATAGCGTATTGATGGAGGTGGACATTGAGCTGAAATGTTGGATCGCACTCATTGGAATTTTGCGAGCGAGACTACCTGAGCGCGGTTCCGCAGACGCCAGCGACGAAGAGTCCGGGAAGCCCCTTGATACGCCCCACGTCCAGTAGGTAGTAGGGAAGCATCTGGTCAACCCTGTTAATCTTCCCCAGGGAGAAGGGGTCGCAATCCATATACGTCGCAAAGAGAATGAGACCAATCCAGCAACTGGCCACCTTCGTGATAGCAGTTCCCACCCCAAACACAATGGCCGCCCTGCAATTTAACCTGGTGATCCACTACGACCTGGTGCGCTTACCGTTTTACGGCGGTATACGTGGGCAGAGACAAGAATCGCTGTACTGAGGACGGATTCACGCCTAAATTCCCGACGAAAGTCGCCCACATTCCTATCGCGACCCCCCAAAATGTCTGCCTCACCGTCGGATTGAAGTTCATGCTGCAAGCCTAGCAAGTGAGGGGCACTACTCTTCCGGTAACTTACTTGAACAGCTCGATTCGATCGCGATCACTCGCGTCGCTCCAGATCTTCACGAATCCCCCGGACATGTACGTGCCGATCCCGATTACGATCAGCATCGTGCTGATCGTAATACTCAGCTGGATGGTGTCGGAGAGCACCACAGCCCTGAGCCCGCCCAGAGTCGTATAGAAGATGCACACCAAGCAGATGAGCGTGCTGACTACGTACAGATTTAAACCAGTCACTGAAACACCACCGTAAGTTTTGCCATTATGCCACCTGAACCTGGACAGACCTTGGGTTAGCGCCAGTGACGGAATGTAAATCACGATAGGCACGTGGAGAATCGCCGAGAGAACGTAAAGGCACGAGGCGAAAGTCCGAAGCTCGTGCCCGAAGCGCAACTTTAAATACTCGTAGCTGCTGGGCAGCTGCAACTTGTAGAAGACCGGCAGGTAGACGTAGACGATCGTGACCATAAGCAGCACCACGGTTATCGGACATATCGCGTACTGCGTGCCGTACAGGTAGATTTCCGCCGGTACTCCCAGCATCGTTATACCTGAAAGGTGACTCGCCGCCAGAGACATCCCGACCGGAAACGACCTCATCCGCTTGCCGCCGTGGAGGTACTCCTCCTTGGTCTTCTGTTTCGTACCGAAGCATCCGTAGTAGACGCCTATCAGCAGGCTGGTGCAGATTGTCACCGAGAAGAAGGCGTAGTCGGCCCAGGAGAAGAACGGCTGGCTCATCTTCTCATCCGGGTCGTAGCGCTACTGTTTGCCTTTGTCACATTTCGCTCCGTATCAGCGCCATAAATTTGATTAGGTGACGGTCGGCCTTCCTTGGTTTATTTTCCTTATTTGCTTAGATTTGCGTCATCTTCTCGGCGCCTGTGGCCATTTTTTGAGATAAAATAGGTTGCGTGTTCTCCTGTTCCTTTGTCGACACGGTTTACGATTCTAGCGAATTCTTTTAGGTTTTAAACAAGCTGCACGTCAGACCATATTATGTTCTCCTGATAGTTTTTAAACTATAAGCCAGAGTAACCTAGTGACCTGAAGAACAGGGTCGCAGTGCTGCGATTACGAAAACTCCTCTGTCGTAATGAGCGTTTAGGTGCGTTTGTAACTTTCTTAGCGCATGCTCTCCTGATACAGATACAACAGCGTTTCATGTAGGCTCAATTTATGCGATCCTCCGTGGGATGATTTCCTGATAAGAACGCGAGGAGCAGGGGGGGGGGGCATTGATTTGGTCGTACGAAATTCATGCAATTAATTCATCAGGCACGACCTCCTGATAGTAAAGTTAGGAAATCGCGGATTCGTGCCGTTAGCGGCGTACGTGCCTTGCAGGAAATGAATATTGCTCGTTACAGCTAGGATGTCACGACTACATACACGTAAAGGGTCTCGGACGTGCCCTATAAGCTGTTCTAAGTTGTATCAGAATTGCAGAAGTTGACTTATGAGATTGAATTCGGTATTCAATGACGAGTAAGGGCGAGGTGAAAGTAGATCGCGAAGAATTGTATCAGGATTACATAAGCTGACTCCTATGCTCGTATTCAATTCTGCCTGGAAGAAAAGTGTACAAACAATTGTATCAGGGCTCCATTACTTGCTTCATTTTGGCTTTTGTGATCGAAAGTTGAGGATTGAATTCAATTTTTTAATAATGAAAGAGGTCGCTCTCCAGCTAGGAGAGAAAAAATTGTTAGGGTGCAATGTATGCTGCCATTAATGCTGTGATCCCATTCAAACATTCTTACTTATGATCTCCCGATAAGAAACAAAAAGGTCGCTAAATTTAAGGTGTCGATTTTGAAAATCCATGTCAGGGTTGCATGACATTAATCCTTCCCACTTATTTGATTCCTTAATTAAAGAGGTCTTGCAGAAATCAACCGTTAGCGGAAAAGAATTTGCGCCTTTCATTTTTAGAATCCCTTTACGCATCTTTAGGTATGATCTCCTGATGGATGGAATGAAATCGTGCTTTTAAACCGATTTTGGCGGCGTATCAGGGTTTCATAAATGGATTCATTCCTCCGTATACCTAAATCAAAAATGTCTTTATGTAGGCGCTTCTGCTAGAAGAGATAGAAAGCACAAGGGAAAAGTATGTTCCCTCTATTTTTCGAATTCATTCATACGTTCTGAATTACGATCTCCTGATAAAAAACATTGAGCAATTATGGTGACTCGGGCAGTGTCAGCTGTAAAAATCCCATACCAGGGTTGCATGAGGTGAATATTTCTCTCGAATTTGATTCTTTAAGAGGTCTTGTTTATCCCAGTCGGTTACCAGGAGCAATTAAATGTTCAGGGGAAAAGTAATGTGTCTCTTAATTTTCGAATCCACTTTATGATCTCCTGGTAAGAAGACGGAACGAAATCGAGCTTTTAAAGCGATTTTGGCGGCGTAAAAAATGGTATCCGGGTTACATAAGCGGATTCATTTTCCTGTGTACCCAAATGAAAGTTGGTGTTACATTCTTCCCCGTACGCCGGACCACGCTCCTTACACCTTCGGCCAAGATAAACGGTTCCAAAGAGAAGTATTATACCCATTCATTCACCCTTAGTTATGCTCTCCTGTTAAGAAGTCAAGTAGCTTACGAAATTGAGCCTTTTTTTAATAAAATCAAGCGGCTCACGTGCCCTGTTGCTAAATCAGGGCGTCAGAGATTGACTAATTTGCCCGTATTCCATTCCTGAATGAAGGTTTCCTTCATCCGAGCTCTTGTATTAGGGGAGATGAAAAGTTAAAGGAAGGAGTTAAATTAAATAATAAGGTTTGAATGAGTAGGCTAAGTCGCACTTTAACCGCATGGGTAGATAAAGTGAAACAGATGATTACGCATTCTAATGATTTCTGTGATTCTTATGTCAAATGGGACGCGGAGCACGATATAAAATGACGTTCAGAACATATGATAATGCTGTTTCCATGGAAACGGCCGCGATGGCAGAATAGTCTGCTATTTTTGACGTCTAAGTTAAATTCAGAATTGTCAGAAGCTTTACAATGGCTTCTGCTATACAAGACGGTTTGTATTATACACGACGATAAAAGGAAACTAGCCATCTAGTGAAAGTTAATTCACTCAATATATAAAATATCCCTTGATCATCAATTAATTCATGGAATCTATTCGTATTTTTTAAACCATGATCTCCTGATACGAAACCATGTACGTGGGTTACAAAATCAGCCTGTAGGCTGCGAAGGTCTGTGTCAAGATGATATGAGTTAATTCATTTGACCGTATTCCATTCTTGAATTGAAAAGGATTTCATTATCTAATTTCTTCTATTAAAGGAGATAAAGAGTAGAAGAGAGGAGTGTGGCACCCTTTGATTCTTGGTATCTATTTGTACATTCTCTCCTGACAATAAAGCAGGTAAAAAAACCAAACTTTTAAGTAAACCAGTCTGCATAGGTGCCCTGTAGGATATGAAAATTTGTATCAGGATCGCATGAGTTGATCCATTTCATCATATTCCATTCCACAAGTAAAGATGATGTCTATCTAATCTGTTCTGTTTGGGGGGATGAAAAGTTCAATGGAAAAGTGTGGTGGCTTTTTGTTCATGGCATCGATCCGTACATTTTTAATTATGCTCTCCTGATAAAAAATTAAACAGGTCAATCAAATCGCGACCTGTATAGACTGTAAACATCTGTATCAGGATGACATGAGTTGATCCATTTGTCTATATTCCACTCCTCAATCTAATCTTTTTTATTAGGAGACATAAGAAGTTGAAAAGATTCTGGGAATCTTTTCTTAAATTTCTAACTCTAGTCTCCTGATACTAAAACAAGCAAGTTGCAACATTGCACTTTTAATAGAACCATGAAGTGGGTATTTTTCAAAGTCATTACGTCATCTTTAGCTAGGATCTCCTGATAATAAGTCAAGCGGATCAAGAGCCTTTATTAAACTAAGCGGTGTGCCCTGAAAGCTGTAAAAATTTGTATGAGGAGAGCATGAAATGATTGATTTGCCCCTCTTCACCTAATAGAGATGAATAGCTCTTGTGGAGGGCCCATAACAAGAGAGAGACAATAAACAATTATGCTCTCCTGATGAGATGGCTGATCCCGTATCCTGTAACAGTTTTAGAGTTGTAGGGAGGTGTGAGCGCATGCTCTCCTGATACAGAGAAGTCAATGAAATGTGTTCCTTAAGCATTTGGCCGGTGTTTCTTTTTCTTCTTTTGATAAGGACGCCAAGAGGCAGGCCAGGAGGTCACGAAATCTAGATGTTAAGGCAACTCCGACGACACTCATGCCTTGTAGGCTGCGGAAAATGTGTCAGGGTTGCATGAGTTGGTTAATTGACCCGTATTCGATGTGTTTTGAGTCAACAAATGCATTAAACAATGTTTGTATCACCCCCCCCCCCCTCCTCCCCATGTGACAACGTTCTCCTGCTCTAAGACTGGTAGATTTCAAACGTATTTTCAATATTGTGAAACCGTTATCGGTGTTTGTACTCTCCGTGTCGTCTTCACTTGTTTCACAATTGTGGAAAAACGATCATTGTATCATGCTTACTCACCATTATGCTCTCCTGTTTCTCAAGTAAAAGTTATTATTTCCCGATAAGAAAACGTCGTACTTTTCTTCCTATGCAGGTTTTCCTTTTAGTAAAAAACGCTAGGAAAAAGTATTACCGCTTGGTATCAGGGTTGCATAAGCAACTTTATTTGCAGGCATTCGCTTTCTTAAAGATAAGAGCCCATTTGCACGGAGATGGGGGGAGGGGGGGGGGGAATACTATGGTAACCATTCATTTCGCGAATCCACTCATGCATCTTTAATTATGATTTCCTGATAAAAAAAGACCACGACGGAACCAAATCGAGGGATCCGAGGAGGGGGGGGGGGTTCTTTACTGCCTGTCGAAATACTAAACAAGAAAAGAGGTCTTTACGTATATCTCTCAAAACGAGTTAGACGGCGTACGTGCTTTACAGAATAAGACACACTGTATCAGGGCCGCATGAGAATTCATTTAGCTGTATCCGATTAACGGGGTAGTCTTCTTTATCGATGCTCTTGTGATATAAGGCAACCCTCTCATTTTTGCAATTCATTTGTTTATGAAATTATGATTTCCTGATACAAACGACCACGACGTAACCAAATCGAGGGATTCGAGGGGGTGGGGGGGGGGCGCTTTACATCCTGTAAAAATAATAAACAAGAAAAGAGGTCTTTACGTATATATCTCAAAACGAGCTAGACGGCGTACGTGCTTTATAGAATAAGACGCACTGTATCAGGGGCGCATGAGTTGATTCATTTAGCTGTATCCGATTAACGGGGTAGTCTTCTTTATCGATGCTCTTGTGATATAAGGCAACCCTCTCATTTTTGCAATTCATTTGTTTATGAAATTATGATTTCCTGATACAAACGACCACGGCGTAACCAAATCGAGGGATCCGAGGGGGGGGGGCACTTTACATCCTGTAAAAATAATAAACAAGAAAAGAGGTCTTTACGTATATCTCTCAAAACGGCGTACGTGCTTTATAGAATAAGACGCACTGTATCAGGGGCGCAGGAGTTGATTCATTTAGCTGTATCCGATTAACGGGGTAGTCTTCTTTATCGATGCTCTTGTGATAGAAGGGAATTCTCTGACTTTTGCAATTTGTTTGTTTATGAAATGATGATCTCCGTACAAAGAAAAGCGAGGAGGTCACGAAATCGGACTCTAAACGTGGTAGCTTTGTAGACCAAAAATTGTATTGTGACTGCGTTCTTTTTTTGTATTTAATTGCCTAAGCAAGCAAAATTTTAGAGGAAATTTGTGCAATTTAGTTACACATTCTTCATTATGATCTCCTGATAAGAAAGCGAGGACGTCATAGGAATACTGGGCCAGAATACCTATTACTTTCGAAATTTGTATATTCCTCTAATAATTTTTCGAAATTTATATCCCCCCCCCCCCTTGTTAAGGTTGTCCACAAAGCCACGCCCTTCTTTCACATTTTAATAATTACACTCTGGTAAGTAATACATATGGTAAATACTTTGAAAATATCAACATGGCGCTCGGCGCTTTCAAAAAATAAAATAACGCAAAAAAACCTTCAGAATTGTGCCTTACTAAAAACATCACAAATTATTACACACATGAGATTAAAATATATATGCCTCTCTCTCTCCCTCCCCCTTCGCGCTGCGTACAAAGCGATAATCGCATCTCATGTCTACAATCCTGAAGAAAAGGATCGAGAAGAAATGAAGCGTCCATTAACATCGATAATATTTACATTGAAGATTAACAATTTTTTTTTTCTGGGCTAAAAGTCGGAGTAGTCGGCGTAACTGATCGGCTTGTAGACCGCCGATTGGCCCCAGCCGCGCGGGGCCGTGTTGTAGTTGACGAAGCTGCCGTACTTTCGGGGGGGCGGGGGCGGGGTGCTCTGGTTTATGTTGTAGATTTCGTAGGTGGGCGTCGTGGTTTCCCTGGGCACGAAGACGGCGGGTGGCGGCTCCGGTTTGTAGGTGGGGGCGCGTCTGCTTTGAGGTAGCGGACTTGATGGTGGTTCTAAAACAGAGAGAGAGAGACGCGGTTAGGGGGGGGGGGGGGTTGCGCGGGTTGGGTTTAGCAAGCTTGCCTTGAGCCAAAGCGAGGTTATCGGGGATTGAGGATCGTTGGAAGCCTTCGGTTGTGGTGTTCGTGACAGTGTAGAGGTTTTCAAAGTCTTCCTCCGCTTGCCTCAGGAGCTGTTCGTGCTGGGTGGTTTGCTGCACGATCTGGTCACCCATGACGCTTTGCACGACGGTCACGTCTTTAATCTGCTTGTAGCGCATTGGGGGCATCGCAGACTCCTCGAAGCTTTGAATTAGGTGCCGTACCGGTACTTTTCTGTACATCTCCTCGTCATCGTCGTGGCTTGCCTGGGCGTAGATCATCTGCTTCGAGCTCTCCACTAGAAGATCATCGCTAAGTTTGTTGGTGTCGCCTCGTAGTAGATGCCTGGGCGGGTACTCGACGCGCACACTGCTCGCAATGGGTATAACAGTACCGTCGGGCATCACCAACTCCTCGCGCTTCACCTGCAGGTCCATCTCCACCTCACGCTCCTTCTCGTAGAAGATCTGGTCGATCTCCTCGTCGTCGGTCTTCGCGATCGTTCGTATCTCGGCGACTTCCTTCGTCGTTAGCTGGCTGGAGAGCTTCGAGCCGTCCCCGAGCTCCTGCTCGTTTTTCACTTCGGATCGGCGAATTTTTACCTTCGGCTCGGATCGGCTCTTCCTACCGAGCGCCTTTTTAAATTCGGCGTTGATGTCCATTTGGCCGAATAACGGTCGGGCTCCTGCCACGCTTGAAGGCGGCTTCTTACACTTGGGACTCTCGATTTCGAAATTCCCGCGCTTCTCCACGTTTAGGTCCTTTTTGGTTTCGTAGCGTGTAATCTCGATATGGTTCGGCTCGGTTTTTACGACCAGCTCGGCGATTTCCGGCGGGAGAACTCCGATTGGCTTCATCACCTCCTGAGGTAAATCTAATTCCTGGACCGGTTCGGGCTCAGTTTCGATCGGCTCGTTTGGTTCTTCTGGAGGTGGAGTTTCGAGCGGTTTGGGCTCATCGCAAGGTAAATTGTCAATGCCGAACTGGACGTGCTTCATCTTGACGAGCATCTTCTTCACCTCGCTCTCGTCGCTCAGCTGCGCGTACTGCACGTTGACCTGCCGCTCGAACTGATCGCGCACGCGCTCGGAGAAGCTGCGCTCGTCCTTCGGCACGAAGACGGGGAGCGGGGGGCGCGTTTCGCTGGCGTTGTAGTGCCCCATGCTTTCGAAGAGCTCGCCCTGAAGGGTGTGCACGTTGGACGCGTCGTCGAACTCACGCTCGATGACCTTCTGTTCGGGATCGGACGCGAAATTAAACTCGGGCTTTTCGACGGGGGTGGCGGGGCGAGGTTCTGGATGTAGCGGGTACCTTTTGCCGGTTAGCGAGACGGGCGCGTAGGTGCGGGTGGGAAGGCCGCGCGTGAACGGCCTGGGCGCGTTTTGGAGGGAGAAGTCGGGTATCATCGGGAAGGGGGAGGGGTTGGGGACGATCTCGGGTTCTCTTTCGGGGGAGGGTTCGCGCGAGGGGAAGGGGATCGGCGTCGTTCGTAGCGTGACGATGTCGCGCTCGATGATCTCCGGGTTTAGCTCGATGTTTGGAATCGTCGGGAATGACATGGGGGGATCCAAGCTGGAGATTAGCGGGAGTTGATCTTGGAAGGAGTGGATGTCGTCGGTGAGTAGGTCTAGGTTGGTTTGTACGTCTGGTATGCACACGAAAGGCGAAGCGGGACGTGCCGGTGGTAGTACTGGCGATTCCGGTTTAGGTGTCTCAAGGGTGACATCTGGAATTGTGGGGAATGGCGAGGGGGAGCGGGTTACTTCGGGTTCAGGAATAACGGGGGAAGCGATGCTGCCTGCGAAAAGTGAGTATAAAGCCAAAGCGAAGCGATTCTGACAGCCATGCGGAGGTTACTTACTGTATTGTTGAACTGGTGGAGCTTGTGCGTTCCAGGCCCTTGGTAGTACTGGTTTGTATACGTCAATATTGCTAGTGCCCTTTTGGAAATGATCTACCATTCGATTAATGCTGTTGCTGTTGTAGGCAGGGTTGGCGGTGTGCCTACTGGTACCATCCCACGACTCCAAAGTGTGGGACTTCATGGCCTGTTCGTAGGAGTCGACAGTTGGTCTTACAAAGGCACCACGTTTGGGCCAAACCGGTGGCAAATCCTCGAAGGCGGCCTCAACTGATCCCGTTTCCAAAGCGGCGTCCCACGGCGATTTAATCAACTTCACCCGTGGGCGTACGAACTGTTCCTGAAACCACCAAAAGATCTCCACCACAAACGCCCTCGTAACTCACCTGTATTTGATCAAGCTTCTGATTGTGCTGCGCCCTTTGGGCCGTTTCGGGCAAATAGCTGGGGGTCGGTAAGTGATTGGGGGGTAAAACCGGTATCAAAATCGGCTTTGGAGTCGGGGGTGGCTCGTAGCTCCCTCGTGTACCTTCGGTTTCACCAACGACCCACTTCTCGGACTTCTTGCGCCTCTTCGCGAATAATTCGGCACCTCAACATTTCCAAATGAGACTGGGGGGGGGGGGTGACATTCAGATCAACTCTTACCTTTTCCACGCGGCGAATTCAAATCGCGTACAATCTCTTGGCAAAACTCGGGGGAGAGGGTTGCGTCAATGCTATAACCTTGCTTGCGGAGCGAGTAGATATCCTGCAGTTTACCTCTGGGGTTCATAACAAGCTGCAGAAGCGGCTTGTTCTCATCGTGCCCCTCGACACCAAAACCATTCTCGGCGCCATTCGCTTGACCTGGAATCCCCAAAAGTGTTACGCAATCCACCTGGTTTGTTTGCGGCGCGAGTGCTGCGAAATTTTGGAAATCTTCCCGATCGTGACGAAAAAAATGGAAAGCTACACGTAATTCGGCTACAATTCGAGATGCATCACTTAATATAAACAGTCATACATTATCTGCGAGTATTTCTGAACAAACTGCCACTTACGCAATGGAACGACGAGCGTGGCACCGCGCCAGAACGTTTCGACAAATAAAACCGCTTTGTTTTAAAACGCTTCCGCTCCCGATAACTTGCGAATTTCAGGACTCACCTTCACCCTCGTGCACCCATTTCACGGAGCGCTTTTTTCTGTTGACGTACATGGACTGCCCCTTGCTCGTCTGGTTCGTGGCGTCGCTCAGGGAGCTCGAGATTCGTCGCGCCAATTCCACCTGCTCCTCCATCGTCGGATGGAGGCCCTTCGCGTAGAAGTCGGACGAGGCGAACATCTTCTTCTGGGGCGCGATCTGGGGGGCATCGTGGGCGGGCGTGAAGATCTTCTCCAAGTTGATGGGGCTGGCGACGTTCTCGTCCTGTAAGTTATTTTGCAAGAAAGTTTACGGTGATGCCTTTTGGTCGGCGCATCGTTGCCAATTTTAAGATTTGCGTAAAGGTAATAAATCTACAAAAACCCCTTGATGTTCTCTCCTAATACAATTTTTTTTTCAAAAATAAATACTTTTCTTAAATTCTGGGATGAAAAGTTGTTTTAATCTTGAATACAACGTCTGATTCATACTATAAATTGTGGTATTATCTGGACAAACACCTCCTCATGTACCATGCTGTCCTAATACAAATCTATTTTTCAAAGGATTGCTGTATTAAAACCATAGAACGACATATGAAATGAATATTCTCGTAATCGAAATTGGCAATGTAGAACTGGGGGGTCTAGGGCGAACGGAAGACCCCCCAGTATATGAATGTCTTATGTTAGATCTAGGGAAATAAACGCAAGGGAGTCTGGGGGAGTATGGAATACTAGAAACAGAAAAATTCAATTTTCATTTCCCTACAACTGATATAAAACTTGCGTATACCCCCCCCCCCCCCCCCCCCAGACCCCCCGGTTATACGTTAACCCTCAAAAACTTCAACCCTAAAGACTCTTTCTAAAGATTACTGTATAAGTACTATGGACACTAAACGTTTTGGGGAACAATGTAGAACTGGGGGGTCTAGGGGAATGGAAGCCCCCCCCCCCGTATACGAATGTCTTGTGTTAGATCTAGGGAAATGAACGTGAGGGAGTCTGGGGGAGTATGGAATACTCCCCAAGAAACAGAAAAAATCAGTGTTCATTTTCCTACAACTGAAATAAAACTTGCGTATACTGGGGGGTTTTCCATACCCCCCAGACCCCCCGGCTATACGTTTACCCTCAAAAACTTCAATCCTAAAGACTCTTTCTAATATAAAGATTACTGTATATGTACTATGGACACTAAACGTTTTGGGGAACAATGTAGAACTGGAGGGTCTAGGGGAATGGAAGACCCCCCCCCCCCCAGTATATGAATGTCTTATGTTAGATCTAGGGAAATGAACGTGAGGGAGTCTGGGGGAGTATGGAATACTAGAAACAGAAAAATTCAATTTTCATTTCCTTACAACTGATATAAAACTTGCGTATACTGGGGGGTATTCCATACCCCCCAGACCCCCCGGTTATACGTTAACCCTCAAAAACTTCAACCCTAAAGACTCTTTCTAAAGATTACTGTATAAGTACTATGGACACTAAACGTTTTGGGGAACAATGTAGAACTGGGGGGTCTAGGGGAATGGAAGACCCCCCCCCCCCCCAGTATATGAATGTCTTATGTTAGATCTAGGGAAATGAACGTGAGGGAGTCTGGGGGAGTATGGAATACTAGAAACAGAAAAATTCAATTTTCATTTCCCTACAACTGATATAAAACTTGCGTATACTGGGGGGATTCCATACCCCCCAGACCCCCCGGTTATACGTTAACCCTCAAAAACTTCAACCCTAAAGACTCTTTCTAAAGATTACTGTATAAGTACTATGGACACTAAACGTTTTGGGGAACAATGTAGAACTGGGGGGTCTAGGGGAATGGAAGACCCCCCCCCCCCCCCCCCCAGTATATGAATGTCTTATGTTAGATCTAGGGAAATGAACGTGAGGGAGTCTGGGGGAGTATGGAATACTAGAAACAGAAAAATTCAATTTTCATTTCCTTACAACTGATATAAAACTTGCGTATACTGGGGGGTATTCCATACCCCCCAGACCCCCCGGTTATACGTTAACCCTCAAAAACTTCAACCCTAAAGACTCTTTCTAAAGATTACTGTATAAGTACTATGGACACTAAACGTTTTGGGGAACAATGTAGAACTGGGGGGTCTAGGGGAATGGAAGCCCCCCCCCCCGTATACGAATGTCTTGTGTTAGATCTAGGGAAATGAACGTGAGGGAGTCTGGGGGAGTATGGAATACTCCCCAAGAAACAGAAAAAATCAGTGTTCATTTTCCTACAACTGAAACAAAACTTGCGTATACTGGGGGGTTTTCCATACCCCCCAGACCCCCCGGCTATACGTTTACCCTCAAAAACTTAAATCCTAAACACTCTTTCTAAAGATTACTGTATAAGTACTATGGACACTAAACGTTTTGGGGAACAATGTAGAACTGGGGGGTCTAGGGGAATGGAAGACCCCCCCCCCGTATACGAATGTCTTGTGTTAGATCTAGGGAAATGAACGTGAGGGAGTCTGGGGGAGTATGGAATACTCTCCAAAGAACAGAAAAAAATCAGTGTTAATTTTCTACAACTGAAATAAAACTTGCGTATACTGGGAGTATTCCATACCCCCAGACCCCCCGGTTATACGTTAACCCTCAAAAACCTCAATCCTAAACACTCTTTCTAAAGATTACTGTATAAGTACTATGGACCCTAAACGTTTTGGGGAACAATGTAGAACTTGGGGGTCTAGGGGAATGGAAGACCCCCCCTCTCAGTACACGAATGTCTTATGTTAGATCTAGGGAAATGAATATGAGGGAGTCTGTGGGAGTATGGAATACTCTCCAAGAAACAGAAAAATCAGTGTTAATTTTCCTACAACTGAAATAAAACTTGCGTATACTGGGGGTATTCCATACCCCCCAGACCCACCGGTTATACGTTAACCCTCAAAAACTTCAATCCTAAAGACTCTTTCTAATATAAAGATTACTGTATATGTACTATGGACACTAAACGTTTTCGGGAACAATGTAGAACTGGAGGGTCTAGGGGAATGGAAGACCCTCCCCCCCTCAGTAACGAATGTCTTATGTTAGATCTAGGGAATGAATATGAGGGAGTCCCTGTGGGGTCTGGAATACTCTCCAAGAAACAGAAAAAATCAGTGTTAATTTTCCTACAACTGAAATAATAACTTGCGTATACTGGAGGAGTATTCCATACCCCAGACCCCCGCGGTTATACGTTTACCCTCAAAACACTTCAATCCTAACACTCTTTTAAAGATTACTGTTTAAGTATATGGAACACGTAAGTTTTGGGGAACAAATGTAGAACTTGGGGGTCTTAGGGGATTGGTAAGACCCACCCCCTCTCAGTAAACGAATGTCTTATGTTAGATCTAGGGAAATGAATATGAAAAGGGAGTCTGTGGGAGTATAGAAATACTCTCCAAGAAACAGAAAAATCAGTGTTAATTTTCTACAATGAATAAAACTATGCCGTAATACTGGGGAGTAATTCCATACTGAACTGGGGGGGTCTAGGGGGAAGCACGACCGCCCCCAGAATCGAATGTCTCATGTTTGCATCTAGGGAAATTATGTGAGGGAGTCCTGGGGGGTATGGAATAACTCCCACTGGAAAGTGAAAAACGAATCTTCATTTCCCTACAACTGAAATAGAAACTTGCGTATACGCTGGGGGGTATGGAATACCCCCAGACCCCCGGTTTATACGTTTACCTTCAAAACTTCCAACCCTAAAGATCTTTCTGGAGATTACTGTATAAGTATATGGACCTAAATATTTGGGGAACAATGCAGATGGGGGGGTCTAGGGGGAACGGAAGACCCCCCCAGAATACGAATGTCTCATGTTAGATCTAGGGAAATTAATGTGAGGGAGTCTGGGGGGTATGGAATACTCCCCTGGAAAATGAAAAATCGATTCTTCATTTCCCTACAACTGAAATAAAACTTGCGTATACGGGGGGGTATGGAATCCCCCCCAGACCCCCCGGTTATACGTTTACCCTCAAAAACTTCAACCCTAACGACTCTTTCTAAATATTACTGTGTAAGTACTATGGACACTAAACATTTTGGGGAACAATACAGAACTGGGGGGTCTAGGGGGAACGGAAGACCCCCCCAGAATACGAATGTCTCATGTTAGATCTAGGGAAATTAATGTGAGGGAGTCTGGGGGGTATGGAATACTCCCCCGAAAAAATAAAAATCGAATCTTCATTTCCTACAACGGGAAATTAAAACTTGCCGTATACTGGGGGTTAATCCCATACCCCCCAGACCCCCGGTTATACGTTCACCCTCAAAAACTTCAACTCTAACGACTCTTTCTAAATTACTGTGTAGTACTATGGGACACTAAACATTTTGGGGAACAATTGCAGAACTGGGGGGTCTAGGGGAACGGAAGACCCCCCCAGAATACGAATGTCTCATGTTAGATCTAGGGAAATTAATGTGAGGGAGTCTGGGGGGTATGGAATACTCCCCTGGAAAATGAAAAATCGAATCTTCATTTCCCTACAACTGAAATAAAACTTGCGTATACTGGGGGGTATGGAATACCCCCCAGACCCCCCGGTTATACGTTTACCCTCAAAAACTTCAACCCTAACGACTCTTTCTAAATATTACTGTGTAAGTACTATGGACACTAAACATTTTGGGGAACAATACAGAACTGGGGGGTCTAGGGGGAACGGAAGACCCCCCCAGAATACGAATGTCTCATGTTAGATCTAGGGAAATTAATGTGAGGGAGTCTGGGGGGTATGGAATACTCCCCCGAAAAAATAAAAATCGAATCTTCATTTTCCTACAACTGAAATAAAACTTGCGTATACTGGGGGGTATTCCATACCCCCCAGACCCCCCGGTTATACGTTCACCCTCAAAAACTTCAACCCTAACGACTCTTTCTAAATATTACTGTGTAAGTACTATGGACACTAAACATTTTGGGGAACAATGCAGAACTGGGGGGTCTAGGGGGAACGGAAGACCCCCCCAGAATACGAATGTCTCATGTTAGATCTAGGGAAATTAATGTGAGGGAGTCTGGGGGGTATGGAATACTCCCCCGAAAAAATAAAAATCGAATCTTCATTTTCCTACAACTGAAATAAAACTTGCGTATACTGGGGGGTATTCCATACCCCCCAGACCCCCCGGTTATACGTTCACCCTCAAAAACTTCAACTCTAACGACTCTTTCTGGAGATTACTGTATAAGTACTATGGACACTAAACATTTTGGGGAACAATGCAGAACTGGGGGGGTCTAGGGGGAACGGAAGACCCCCCCAGAATACGAATGTCTCATGTTAGATCTAGGGAAATTAATGTGAGGGAGTCTGGGGGGTATGGAATACTCCCCTGGAAAATGAAAAATCGATTCTTCATTTCCCTACAACTGAAATAAAACTTGCGTATACTGGGGGGTATGGAATACCCCCCAGACCCCCCGGTTATACGTTTACCCTCAAAAACTTCAACCCTAACGACTCTTTCTAAATATTACTGTGTAAGTACTATGGACACTAAACATTTTGGGGAACAATGCAGAACTGGGGGGTCTAGGGGGAACGGAAGACCCCCCCCCAGAATACGAATGTCTCATGTTAGATCTAGGGAAATTAATGTGAGGGAGTCTGGGGGGTATGGAATACTCCCCCGAAAAAATAAAAATCGAATCTTCATTTTCCTACAACTGAAATAAAACTTGCGTATACTGGGGGGTATTCCATACCCCCCAGACCCCCCGGTTATACGTTCACCCTCAAAAACTTCAACTCTAACGACTCTTTCTAAATATTACTGTGTAAGTACTATGGACACTAAACATTTTGGGGAACAATGCAGAACTGGGGGGGTCTAGGGGGAACGGAAGACCCCCCCAGAATACGAATGTCTCATGTTAGATCTAGGGAAATTAATGTGAGGGAGTCTGGGGGGTATGGAATACTCCCCTGGAAAATGAAAAATCGATTCTTCATTTCCCTACAACTGAAATAAAACTTGCGTATACTGGGGGGTATGGAATACCCCCCAGACCCCCCGGTTATACGTTTACCTTCAAAAACTTCAACCCTAAAGACTCTTTCTGGAGATTACTGTATAAGTACTATGGACACTAAACATTTTGGGGAACAATGCAGAACTGGGGGGGGGGGGGGTCTAGCAGTATGAGTTATTTCAGAAACGGAAGGAAATAATAAATACCTTGACGTATTAAGTTCTCCCAATTCAAATTTCTGGGTCAAACATGACCAGAACTCGCATGGGGGTGTTATTTTTATACCCCTCCTATGGGTTTGAAGAACATAATACGTGAAAAGGCCTGGGTTAATACAAAAAATAAATAAATAAATAAAAAAACATGTATGTTGGTTCTCATTCCCACTTTTTGAGCTCTACAAGACAACAAAGTTGAAAGGTGTTGGTTCCAACAGGATGGTGCACCCGCACACAACGCTCTAATCGCGCGAGAATACCTATGTCGAATAGTTTCCTGGAAAATAGAAAATTTATTTGTTTAAATATCACTAAATTCTTTGATAACATTCTCGGTGACAATTTTTGGAATTTCTGCCGCCCAGATATTTTGAAAAAATGTTGAGAAGAGTATCAAGGTGTTTTCGAATAGTAGAATTTAAAACAGCGGTACCTCTTCGGGTATTATCCTCTCCTAATGCAAACCTTTTCAAAAATTGATTTCTCTGCATCACAGAAACCCAAAATTCACTATCAAATTTTCGTACAAAATTGTGAGAGAATGATCCCCAAAAACCATTGAAATTGAATTGAAAGTGTAGTCATTTTTTTTTCAAAATCTCTACCGGCGCCACCTGCTGTCTAAAAACGGAAGTTGTACAAGAGCGCCCTAAGCGTAATTTCAGATGTTTTTCAACACCTGTGGATGAAACACCATAAAAGGTCGAGACGTTGCCGTTTTTTCGTGGAAGTGTTTTGTCTTCCTAACATCATATTGAATGTGTCATTTCCGTGGGCACGAAAACGTGCACTTTTCCGCCGCTTTTATTTTTAAAACGCACTTATGAATCATGCTATTTTTACACCGAAAATTGGGACTGGAAGCGTCCGATCATACAAAAACACTAAATTCACTTACGGCGAAATGTACGTGCTTCTCTTTCACCCTGTACTCCTCACTTTTCTCACTGCACGCAGAATAAATTCCACCACCAAGAAACATGACGCACGCTGGAATGTTACGAAGGAATCGACGGAAGAAAACTGAAATTTTACACGCGACGCGGTGCGTGTAAAAGAAAACGCAGAATCGAACCGGAGCCAAATTGCGTCTGTCTAATTTTAGACACGAAATATTACCAATTAATAATTAATTAGCACCCCTCATCCTGGAGTTGGCGATCGGCCAGATCGACAAAAAAAGGACTTACCAGACCGACTCGAAACACGCGCCTCGTTAGGTCAGTGAGGAACTCCTTTTTGGCGGGATCTTTGCGATCGGACGGCTTGAAGCCCCTGCGCGTTTCGATGACGCTACTCGTGCTCAGCGACTTCTGCAAGCCGGGCCGAGCGCCGGGGGTGAGCTGGTAGCTGCTCACGCTCCGATTGATCGTGTACGAACTGTGGCTCGTCTTGGAAATTTGCCTCATTTTGGCAGTTCGAAACACTGACACCAACTAACTACGTACATGATAACACCAATGGCGGCCGTAAAACGGGCCAGAAGCCTAGAAATAATCTGCCAGGAGAATTTGGTTTCGGCAACTGGCTGGACGGCTTCCAAAAACAGCAAGCGCACCAATCAACGATTAACGTTGCTGCACATTTGCAACAGGGGGATCAAATCGATCGAACAGGTGGATATGATGATACTTACCAGCGTTGCGGCGTAGTCGGACGACGCGTAGGTGCTGTAACTTTCGCGAAGCTCGTCGGTGCAGCGCTGCAAAAGAGAAAAAGAGCCCTAGGTTAGTGGCACGTGGTGATGATGCCCATACCATTATTCAAGAGGTACTGTACCTACCGGTCACTTTTCGGCGGGTATTTTTACATTTTTATTATTATCCGAAACGCCCTCGCCCAATTCGTTTAAACAAAGATTTCCGCATAGACGTCGGACGGAGAGGTGTGTGGGAGGCCGTCCGAAAATCGCGCTAATCCACTCGGTTTGAAGTGGAATTTATTTTCGTTCCGTTTTGTATCGAAGTTTTTTTTGGACGCAATACAGTTCAAGGAACTTGGTGGTATGAGCAGTTCTTAGTGAGAGTGGACGTCCATCGAACGTTCGTTCTAGATGTACAGAGCACGTACTCCCAAGGAATGATTTCCTCCATCCTCCAATCAATTGCAGACTCCGGACGCGTCCGTCGAACGTCTATTGTTCCAGCTAAATGGAATACTTAGGGCGAAGTGCAGAGATAACGTTCACTCCATATCTTCCTTCTTCTCACTACGGTCCCTCCACTTTGACCCTGTCTTAAAATTGTCTCACATAACACATGTCCATAATATTTCAAACTTCTCTTCAATCTTCCATAATTCCTCGATTCTGTCCTTTAGCTTCCCATCTTCCTTCATTTTCCATACTTTTCCTTTTCCACTCCACTCCACCTTCCTTCCATTCTTCAGGTAGTCATGCTGAATAGATTCCTTATCTTTTCCTCGGCCCTATTTGTGGCGAAAATCATTTCGTATTTTATCCCTCCCTGCCGCTTTCCCTTTCAGTCTCTTTAATTGCAGCTCAATTTCTTCTATCCTTTAACCTCCTCTCTTCCCACCCCCTCTTTCTCTTGCTTTCCTTGTAGTACTTTAATAAAGTGTCGTTTCCAGCCTTCTACTTCTTCCCACCTCTTCTATTTTGCTCTGTTTATCATCTTTCAAAAGTAGTTCTCTGTTTTTCTTTCACTGATTTGTTTTTCGAATTCCTTTTCTTTACATTTTCATGTGTACTTTTTCCTGTTTTCTCAACTTTTTCTTTCTACATCACTATTCTATACCTGTTACTCTCTTCTGTGCACTCTCTGTCCAATCACACCATTATATTTTTTCTCCCCTCCACTTCAATTATTTGTTTCCACGTTATTGCTTTTTTTTAATTAAAATGCCAACTTTCCCTCTCCTCTTTCCTTTCATTTACCATAATTTCTACTAACTTATTTTATGCCATTCATTCCATCTCTGTTGTATATCTATCAGTATCAATTTCTTCTCTTCACTCCATATCTTCCTTCTTCTCACTACGACCCCTCCACATTGACCCCCCTCCCTTTCCCCATTTGACTCAAATAACACATGTCCACAATATTTCAAACTCGGTCCGTTCAATATTTACCCTCATTCTTGTCTTTTCATATAATTCCTCGATTCTGTCCTTTACCTTCTTGTCTATGCTCCCATCTTCCATCACTTTCCATACTTTTCCCTTTTCACTCCACTATTACTCCTTCCTTTCTTCAGGTAGTCTTGCTTAATAGATTCCTTACCTTTTCCTCGGCCCTATTTGTGGTGAAAATCATATCCTATTTTATCCCTCCCTGTCGCTTTTCCTTTCAGTCTCTTTAACTGCAGCTCAATTTCTTCTCTCCTTTAACCACCTCTCTTCCCACCTCCTCTTTCTCCCGCTTTCCTTGTAGTACTTTAATAAAGTGTCGTTTCCAGCCCTCTATTTGTTCCCACCTGTTCTATTTTTCTCTGTTTATCATCGTCCAAAAGTACTTCTTTGTTTTTCTTTACTGATTTGTTTCTTCTTTTTCTTTACATTTTCTTGTATACGATTTCCTGTTTTCTCAACTCTTTCTCCTGCTCTTTAACATCATTATTCTATATCTGTTTCTCTCTTCTGTGCACTCTCTTTCTCTCCAATTACTCCATTATATTTTCTGTCCCCTCCACTTCAATTATTTGTTTCCACGTTATTGCTTTTTTTCATTAAAATGCTCCCCTCTCCTCTTTTCTTTCATTTACCATAATTTCTACTAACTTATTTTATGCCATTCATTCCATCTCTGTTATATAGCTATCAGTATTAATTTCTTTTCTTCACTCCATATCTTCCTTCTTCTCACTACGATCCCTCCACTTTGACCCCTCCATTTGACTCACATAACACATGTCCATAATATTTCAAACTCGTTCTCTTCAATTTTTACCCTCATTTTTGCCTCTTCATATAATTCCTCGATTCTGTCCTTGTCTATCTCTGCGTTCTTTGTTATTGTAAATAAATTTCTCTGTCCAAACCCCCACCTTTTATTCTCCCGCTCTCTTTTTCACTAGTACTTTTTCTATGACTCTCCATCTATATTATTTATCTTGCACCATTAATTTTCAATTCCCGCTTTCCCTTTCGGCCACTTTCTAATTCCTCTCTGTGTCCTTACATATCCTACTTCCCCTAATCATTTCCCTCTTCTTTTCCCATGTTAGTTCCGCGTCTATTACTTTATTTCTCCGCACTTCAATTTTTCTCATTTTTTTTAAGTTTTAAGTGCCGTTTCTCTCTCTTTTCCTTTTTCCATTCTTCTTTCTTTTAATGTTATATCATTCCTGATCTTTTCTCTTTCCTTTCTCTCATTTTCTTCCTTTAGTTTTGGTGTCGTTTCCATCAGTTCCTCTTTTTTATTATCTCTTCTCTTCATTTCTCCATAATGTTCTCTTTCCATTATCCATTTGCTCTTTTCTTGCTTATTTCCTCCTTTACTCCCTTCATCATTTTTTCATTACTTTGTTCATGTTTTTCGCTTCTCCTGCAATAAACTAACCCCCCCCCTTCCCTCTCTGTCTTCGCTTTGTTTCGATGATCTTATGATCTTCTTCCTTCTAAACACTTCAGACGTCCATCTAACGTCCATTTAGTGTCCATTGCATGTACGCACTGCGACCGTTTATTTTTCTTTTTCTAGACGAACACAAGGTAGAGAAGCACAACGAACGTTGTGAGTAACCCATTTCCGAAGGGTCCAAAAGTGCAGAAACAACGTCTACTAATTTTTTTGGGAATTGACATCCATCTTACGTACATTTTAGGTGCACGTTGTGTGTACTCACTGCGACCGTACCTATTTAATTTTCCAAGTGAACAAAATTCAGAGGAGTGTCACAAATTTTGGGAATAACTCATTTCCGAAGTTTCTCTAAGAGCAGAAACAACGTCAACCCATTTCTTTTAGAGTGAACGTCAATATAACGTCTATTTTAGGTGGATATTGCATGTATTCGCGGCGGCCGTGCCTTTTTCTGTTTTCCTGATGAACAAAATGCAGAGGAGTGCTACAATTTTTGGTAATAACTCACCTCCGAAGGTTTTCTAAGTACAGGAACAACGCCCACCTAGGTTTTCGAGAATGGACGTCCATGCAACGTCCATTTTAAGTGCACATTAGATGTACTCACTGCGGCCGTGCCTTTTTCTTTTTCTAAGTGGGAAACGACCCACTTTTTAAGTTGTATAAGTGAAAAAAACATCCTTCCACCTATTTTTTTTATCAACGTCTATCTAACGTCCATTTTAGGTACACATTGCATCTACTCACTGCGGTCGTGTCTTTTTGTTCTAAAAAGTGAAGAAACACTATGCATGTGCCGATGTGCTTATAAAGAATATATAGGGCTTAAAACATCTGAAAAGTCCTTTCCATGAGTAAGTACTTCTAGGCATAGTTCTGGAAGTTGTTAGGGCATCCAAACCGAAGATTTTTGGCTTCTTGATGTTGGAATATACTTTTTGGATCGTTTAGTACAGAATCAACCTTCGTCCAATTAAATATTCCAGAATTCTAGAATGAACATGGAACATCCATTGCAAATGTACGTTGCATGTACGCACGATGGACTTTAATCAAATATGGAGCGGAAGTGGAAGCTTAAAATTGATTTGCACCTTTTCTGTAATTTTCTATTTTACTCTCCTAAATGTAGAATTATGCCTATATACCTCCATTGCATGTCCATCAGACGTCCATGGATGTACGTACATAAAAAACCTCTTTTTTTAACGGTTTTTGTATTCGAAAATGAAACTTTAATGTACAGTGGAAAATTTCATATCCAGTATAGACCTATAGTGGACATGAAATGGACATTCGTCTTCAATGGGCAATTGACACAAAATTAGATACAAATTCCTGCAAACGTCCATTTTACATCCATTTTAGGTCCATGGAATGGTTTAAATTAGAATGAGCGTGTACCTGTGTGTAGAATGGTTGTGGTGAGCGAAAGTCGCGTGGTAGGGTGCATGGTCTCGGTGGCAGTGTGGTGGGTAAACACGAAGGCAAGCGGGCGACCCACGAGTCTTTCGGTTTTTGTCCGTACTACAAACTCGTGCGGTTAGACATTGAAATGCGACACGCACTCACCTGAGTTCCGTACGTGGTGCTCGACTTCTCGAAGTTGTACACCTTCTCGCTCTCGTTCATCCTTCTCGATCCGTCCGCGCTCCGCAGCTCGCGATCCTTCGCCGCGTACGTGTCGATCTCCGATATGATCTCCTTGAGGGCGTCCTTGATCTTCTCCTCCTTTATTTCGGACTTGTGCGAGGTCGAGTGCTCCTGCACGGGCACGAAGATGGGACTCTTGCGCAGGATCGGCTGGTAGATCTTGGACTCGGCGTGCTGGAACGTCGGCTCGGCGTTGAAGGGCTGGAGCGGTACTTTGGGTTGAGGCGGTTCGGCCAGAAGACTCATCGGGACGTTTCGGAAGGCGCTGGGTGGGTAATTGGATGGGCGTTGGGTTTGGGTGGTCGCGCTGATTTGGGCTTGGGGGGCCACTGGGATGTAGTGTTGTTGAGGGGGAGTGATCGGTTGATATTTAGTCTGAGGAATTTGGTTTTGGGGTGAAGTCTGTTGCGTGGGTGTAGATGGAACGGTATGAACAGTTTGAGTTTGAGGACCTGAGTGGACTGGAGGGGTTGATTGTGGTTGAGCCTCTGCTGAATGAACTTTGGGAGGATCTGGTTGACGTACAGGGTGGTCCTTAGAAGTTTGTTGGGCGGGTGCAGATGGAACAGTATGAACAGTTTGAGTTTGAGGACCTGAGTATTGGACTGGTGGGGCTGATTGTGGTTGAGCCTCTGCTGAATGAACTTTGGGAGGATCTGGTTGATGTACAGGGTGGTCCTTAGAAGTTTGTTCAGTGGGTGCAGATGTAAGGGTATCAACAGTTTGACTTTCAGGACCCGAAGGTTGGCTTGCAGGAGTTGATTGCGGTTGAACCTCTACTGAATGGACTTTGGGAGGATCGGGTGTATGTACAGGGTGGTCCTTCGAAGTTTGTTGCGTTGGTGCAGATGGAACGGTATCAACACTTGGACTTTCAGCACTTGAAGGTTGGGTTGATTGTGGTTGAGCCTCTGCTGAATGAACATTAGGAGAATCGGGTTGAGTGGGTGCAGATGGAGGGGCATCAACAGCTTGGTCTGGAGGATGTGCAGGTTGGCTTGTTGTTGATTGTGGCTGGGTATCTGCTGAATGTACTTTGGGTGGATCCGGTGGCTCTACAGGGTGGTCTGAAGGTGTTTGTTGAGTGGGTGCAACAGCTTGGTCTTTAATAATTTCCTGTGGTTGTGCGGGTTGGTCTACTGGCTCAGATTCTCGTTCTTTGGGCTTAGGCTGAGAAGGAGTACTTGCATCTGGTTGGTCTGTGGAAGGTTCCTTTGGAACTACTTTCTCTTCACCTTTACTCTCAGCCTGTTTCGCCTCATTCCCCGTTGGTGCAGTTTCTGGCACTGCCTTTGACTGCGATTCTGCAACCTCCTTCGTTGGAGTTGTCTTTTCCTCTTTCTGTACATCTTCCTCGCCATTCTGAGAAGTAACAGAAGCGGTAGACTTCTCCAAAGCTTTCGCCTCACTTTCCAATTGCTTGGCGATCTCAAACGACTTCGGGGGTTCCAGAGGCTGTAAGGGTTCGAACGGTTTGATAGGTTCAAATGGTTTGACTTGCGACGGTTGGGGTGTTGTTGGCGTCGAGGTCGGTGCGGGAGAGGTCTCCTTTGGCTTATCCTCAACCGCCTCAGGTGGCGGTTTCGAAGCGGGGGCCACTTCCGGTTCTTCTTCCTTTAACATTGCTATTATTACAATATCTTAGTTGTGTGCAGATTTAAGCCAACCGAATACGAAAACTATTGGGGTGGAGCTAAGAACAAAGGGAACGTTAGTGGAGGATACAGAACGAATGCCTATTCTTAACTTACAGTAGGCAGATCTACCTTTTAAAAGTTACCATACAGCAATGAACTCAAATGCCGGTAACTTTTGGTTAATGCCCTTTAATCCTAATTTTTAAATTTCCAATTTTTGCTTTCTATGCAATTCTAATTGGTTGAGGTTTCTGTAGAAAACTGTTCTGCTACTTTTGTGCTACTAAACACAATTTTCACCTGCTTTGCTATGTTGCGGAACAAGCAGAAAAATAGCATGCAGGTAGCATAAAATTGCTTTGGATACGCACAAAACTCTTTACGTCAATAGCAATAGCTAACTAGCGTCGTCAATTATGTCCTGCAATGAACGTATCTAAAGTAGCTCACAAATAGCAGTCGGACTTAAAAAAAACCGTTTCTTTTGTGCTAATTATCTAATTTTTATGTTATCTAAGGTGACCATAGGAAAACCTTGCTCATTTGGGAGATCTAAATTCTCCCACAAAATTGCTACGATACTATCCCATTGCGTCGTACCATTATTTCGAGCTTGATCTGTTTAGTGGACAACGAGGATCGGTCTATAACCATTTCAGAAGTCGATAGTAGAAACGTGTCACCAAAATTAGTTCACAATCTCATATACCAACCTCGGATTGATCTAACCCAGCACTGTAGCACAAAATTAGCACAAGATGAGAAAATTGTTTGTGAAAATATTCGCAAAGCTTGCATCATAGGTACCATAAACTTACAGCATTATTAGAAGTAAAATTAGATATTATAGATATCATAAGCAGTATATAGCATAAAAATAGCACACAAATTTTAATAGCATACGATTAAATAGCACAGAATTAGCACTATTTCAGTAGACAATATTATACCATGCATCACAAAAGTAGTTGAAAAAATAGCGCAAAATCCATGGTTATAAGTATTTCAGTTAAACAATTTGTAGCAACAGCAACTTTGGCCTAATCATGGATTTTACTCACTTTTTGTTAGTAGGAGACGAACTAAATTACCCAAAAGAATTTATAATGGTGCTTTCAGATTCCTGTGTTAGGTTTCATCCACGGGTGAAAAAAATCCTTGGGGGTGCGATGGAAAATTGCCAAGGGGTGGATGTGAAAGGTGGTTTTAAGGGATGAAAGAATTGTTGAGGTTAAATTTGGTAAAAAATTAGCAAAGGGTTGTTACGACATGACTTTGCTTGGAATTGGTGGCTCATTAAGTAAAGAAAGAGGGACGAAAAGAATCGTTAAGGGTGCAGAACGGTTAAACATAATAAAAATGGTTAAAGGGAGGTTCTGACATGCTTATTCTTGAAATTGGTGGTGTAAGAACTGTGGGAAAGTGATTTGAAAGGGCAAAGAAAATTGGTGAGGGTGCATAAGGGTTAAACTCGATGGAAAATGGCCAAAGGGTGGCTATGACAAGCTTATTCTTGAAGTTGGTGGCGCATTAGGTAAAGAAGGATACTTTAAGGGATGAAGTAAATGGTTGAGGCTAGAAACGGGTTAAACTTGAGGGATATGGGTAAAGGGGTGGCTGTGACATGAAATTGGTGACGCGAAGAAGTAAGGAAAATTGACTATAAAGGGCGATAAGAAATGTTGAGGGTGTAGAAGGACTAAATTTGATGCAAAATGGGTACAGGGTTGATCTCACATGTTTATTCCTGGAGGTGTGAGGCAAGAAATGTGGCAGCGTGATTTCAAAGGGTGGAGAAGGGATAAACTTGATAGAAAATGAGTGAGGGGTGGTTGTGACATGGTTTTTCTAGAAATTGGTAGCGCAAAACGTTCAGAAAGGGAACTTTAAGGGATGAAAAAACTGGTTGAGGATGCATAACTCGATGGAAAATTGCCAAAGGGTGACTGTGACGTGCCGATTCTTGTAATTGGTGGAGCAATAAGTAAGAAACAGTGATTTCAATGGGCAAACATATTGCTGAGGGCGCATAAGGGTTAAAGTCGATGGAAACTGACCAAGAGGTGGTTGTGACAAATTTATTCTTAGAATTGGTGGTGTAAAAAGTAAAGAAACGGGGCTTTAAGAGAATGAAAAATGGGTTGAGGGTGCAGAAGAGATTAATTTGATGGCAATGACCAAAGGGTTGTAGTAACATGCTTTTGCTTGGAATTAGTGGTGGAAGAAATATAGAAAGAGGTTTTTAAGGGATGAAGAAATAGTTGAGGATGCAGGCGGTTTAGACTGGATGAAGAATGGGGTAGGGGGTGGCTGTGACATGCTTATGCTTGAGACTGGTGCCGCAAAAAGTAAAGAAATGGGACTTTAAGGGATGCAGAAACTGTTTGAGGGTGCATATGGGTTAAAGTGTATGAACAAATGACTAAAGGGCTGTTGACACATGTTTAGTCTTGGAATTGGTGGGTAAAGCAACGGGACATTAAGGGATGAAAAGAATGGTTGGAAGTGAGTAAGGGTTAAACTTGATGAAAAATGAGTGAGGGGTTGTTGTAACATGCTTATACATGGTTACGAAGTAAGGAAAGAGCACTGTAAGGGATGAAAACAGTGGTTTGGAGTGCAGAATGGTTAAACTGGGGTGGTTGTGGCATTTTTACTCTTGAAATTGGTGCCTCATGAACATATAAGAAGAGGACTTTAAGGGATGAAACAAATGGTTGGGGCGCAGAAGGGTTAAGCTTGATGAAAATTTAGTAAGGGGTTGCTGTCACATGCTTATTCTTGAGATTTATGGCGCAAAAGTAAGGAAAATCATTTCACAGGGCGAAAAAATGGTAGAGGGTGCAGAAGCGTTAAACTCGATGGAAAATGACCAAATGCCGGTTATGACAATCTTACTCATGCAATTGGTGGCGTATGAGGTATAGAAAGTTGACTTTAAGGGATGAAACAAGTAGTTGAAGGTGCAGAAGGGTTACACTTGATGGAAAATGGTTTAAGGGTGGTAGTGCCATCCTTATTATTGGAATTGGTGGCACAAGAAACAAGGAGAACTGACTTTAAGGGGCGAAAAAAATTTTGAGGGTGAAGATGGGTTAAACTTGATAGATCATTAATGAAGGGTGGTGATTGTGAGATGATTTGTGACGCAAAACGTTCATAAAGGGGATATTAAAGGATCAAAAAACTGGTTGAGGGTGAATAAGTGTTAAACTCGATGTAAAATGGACAAGGGGTGGTTAAAGCTGATACTATAAGTGACGAAATAAGTGGTTGACGGTGCGAAAAGGTTAAACTTGATGGAAAATGTGTAAGGGATGGTTGTGACTTGTCTGATCTTGGAATTAGTGGCGTACGTAGTACGGAAAGGGGACTTCTAGGGTGACTTTGAGGGATCAAAAAAATGGTGGACGATCCAAAAGGGTTAACAGGATAAAAAATGGGCAACGGGAGACTGTGGTGCGCTTGTTCTTAGAATTACTGGTACAAACGGTATGGAATGCGTATTTACGCAGGAAGAAGTAAATAAAACGGACGTTAAGGGATGAAAAATGGATGAGGGTGCAGAATGGGTTAAATTTGATGAAAAATGAGTACAAGACTGTAGTGACATGCATATTCTAGGAAATTGCGGCGCAAGAAGTAAGGGCAAGGGACTTTAAGGGATGAGAAATGTGGTTGAAAGTGGAGAAGGGTTACACTTGATGGAAAATGGTTCAAGGGTGCTTGTGACATTCCCAAATTTGGAATTGGTGGCCCAAGAAATATGAAAAGGCGATTTCAAACAGTGAATGAAGTTGTTGAGGGTGCATACGGGTTGAACTCGATGGAAAATGCCCAAGGGGTGGTTTTGACAAACCAATTCTTGGAATTTATGTCGTAAGAAGTAAATCAAGGGCACTTAAGGGATCAAAAAGGTCGTTGAGGGTGGAAAATGGTTAAAGAGGGGTAGTGACGTGTCTAATTTTGAAATTGGTAGTCCATTAGGTAAAGAAAGGGTACTTTAAGGAATGAAATAAATGGTGGACGTTTCGAAAGGGTTGTTGGAAAATGGGTAAGAAGTGGTTGTGACGATATAAAATATTTAGGGCGTAGAAGGACTAAATTTGATGCAAAATGGGCACAGGGTTGATGTCACTTACTTATACCTGGGGTTGTGGGACAAGAAGTACGGCAACGTGATTTCTAAGGGTAGAAAAAATTTTGTTTAGTGTGCAGAAGAGTAACACTGGGTGAAAAATAGGCAAAGGGAAGTAATTCTTGGAATTTGTGGCGCATGAAGAAAAGAAAGGAAGTTTTAAGGGATGAAAAAATGCTTGTGGGTGCAAAAGTGTTAAACTGGATGAAAATGAAGTAAGGGTTGTAGTCACATAGGTACTTATTCTTGGAATTGGGGTCTCATAAAGTAAAGAAAGGCTATTTTAAGCTACGAAAAATTGTTTGAGGGTGCAGAATGGTTAAACAGGGTGAAAAATGAGTAAAGGGTTGTTGTGGCTGCTTATTCTTAGAATTAGTAGCGGACGAAGTATGGAAAAGTGCCTTTGAAAGTAAAAAAAATCTTGAGGGTCCAGAGGGGTTAAACTTGATCGCAAGTGGCTAAAGTGAGGTTGTATTGAACTTACTCCTAAAATTGGTGGCGCAAGTAGTAAAGTAAGAGGATTTCAAGGGATGAAAAAAATAGCTGAGGATGCAGAAGAGAAAATGGCTAAAGGGTCGTTGATAAATGCTTATTCTTGGAATTGATGACGCAGGAAGTAGAGTAACAAGGCTTTAAGGGATGAAAAAAATGGTTGAGGGTGAAAAACGGAAAAAACTTGCTATATAACAGCTAGAGGGTTGTGCTACATGCTTATTCATCGAATTTGTGGCGGAAGAAGTACCGAAAGAGGATTTTAAGGGACTAAAACAATTGTTGAGGGTGCAGAAGAGAAAAACTTGATGAACAATGGCTAAATGGTTGTTCGCACGTGCTTATTCATGGTATTGGCGGAGGAAGAAGTATAGAAAATGACTTTAAGGGATGAAAAAAATGGTTGAGCGTGGAGAAGGGATAAAAAATAAGTAAATTGACACACTTATTCTTGGGATTGGTGGTGTAAGGTGTATGGACAAAGTGATTTCAAAGGGCGATGAGAATTTTAAGGGTACAGCAGGGTTAAACTGGTTGAAAGGTGAGTAAAGGGTTGGTGTGAATGCTTGTTTTTAAAACTGATGGCTCAAGGAGTATGGGAAAGTGATTTCAGAGGGCGAAAAAAATTGCTGAGGGTGCAGAAGGGAAAAACTCGATGGATAATGACCAAATGGAGGTTATGATAATTTTACTCTTGCAATTGGTGGCGTATGAGGTATAGAAAGTTGACTTTAAGGGATGAAACGAGTAGTTGAAGGTGCAGAAGGGTTACACTTGATTGAAAATGGTTTAAGGGTGGTAGTGCCATTCATATTATTGGAATTGGTGGCACAAGAAGTAAGGAGAATTGACTTTAAGGGGCGCAAAAAGTTTTGAGGATGCAGAAGGGTAAAACTTGATGGAAATTTAGTGAAGGGTTGATGTCACATGCTTATTTATGAAATTTGTGGCGCAAGAAGGAAGGGAAAGTGATTTCAAAGAGCGAAAAAGTATGGTGAGTGTGCAGAAGGGTTAAACTTGATAGCAAATGAGTGAAGGGTGGTTGTGGCATGATTTTCTTGAAATTTGTGGCGCAAAATGTTTATAAAGGGTATATTAAAGAATCAAAAAACTGGTTGGGGGTGCATAAGTGTTAAACTCGATGTAAAATGGCCAAGGGCTGGTTAAAGGTGGTCCTATAAGTTACGAAATAAGTGGTTGACGGTGCGAAGGGGTTAAACTAGGTGGAAAATGTGTAAGGGGTGGTTGTGACTTGTCTATTCTTGGAATTAGTGGCGCACGTAGTACGGAAAGGGGACTTCTGGGGGGACTTTTAGGGATCAAAAAAATGGTTGACGATTCAAAAAGATTAAACAGGATAAAAAATTACTAACGGGAGGCTGTGGCACGCTTGTTCTTGGAATTACTGGTACAAATGGTATGGAATGCTTATTTACGCAAGAAGAAGTTAATAAAAGGGATTTTAAGGGATGAAAAATGGACGAGGGTGCAGAATGGGTTAAATTTTATGAAAAATGAGTACAAGACTGTAGTGACATGCATATTCTAGGAAATGGCGGCGCAAGAAGTAACGACAAGGGACTTTAAGGGATGAGAAACGTGGTTGAAAGTGGAGAAGGGTTACACTTGATGGAAAATGGTTCAAGAGTGCTTGTGACACTCCCAAATTTGGAATTGGTGGCCCAAGAAATATGAAAAGGCGATTTCAAACAGTGAATGAAGTTGTTGAGGGTGCATACGGGTTGAACTCGATGGAAAATGGCCAAGGGGTGGTTTTGACAACCAATTCTTGGAATTTGTGTTGTAAGAAGTAAACCAAGGGGTCTTAAGGGATCAAAAAGGTCGTTGAGGGTGGAAAATGGTTAAAGAGGGGTAGTGGCATGTCTAATTTTGAAATTGGTAGTCCATTAGGTAAAGAAAGGGTACTTTAAATGGTGGACGTTTCGAAAGGGTTGTTGGAAAATGGGTAAGAAGTGGTTGTGACGATACAAAATATTTAGGGTGTAGAAGGACTAAATTTGATGCAAAATGGGCACAGGGTTGATGTCACTTACTTATACCTGGGGTTGTGGGACAAGAAGTACGGCAACGTGATTTCTAAGGGTAGAAAAAATTTTGTTTAGTGTGCAGAAGAGTAAGACTGGGTGAAAAATAGGCAAAGGGAAGCTATTCTTGGAATTTGTGGCGCATGAAGAAAAGAAAGGAAGTTTTAAGGGATGAAAAAATGCTTGTGGGTGCAAAAGGGTTAAACTGGATGAAAATTAAGTAAGGGTTGTAGTATTCTTGGAATTGGGGTCTCATAAAGTAAAGAAAGGCTATTTTAAGGTATGAAAAATTGTTTGAGGGTGCAGAATGGTTAAACAGGGTGAAAAATGAGCAAAGGGTTGTTGTGGCTGCTTATTCTTAGAATTAGTAGCGAACGAAGTATGGAAAAGTGCCTTTGAAAGTAAAAAAAATCTTGAGAGTCCAGAGGGGTTAAACTTGATCGCAAGTAAGAGGATTGCAAGGGGTGAAAAAAAATAGCTGAGGGTGCAGAAGAGAAAATGGCTAAAGGGTCGTTGACAAATGTTTATTCTTGGAATTGATGGCGCAAGAAGTAGAGTAACAAGGCTTTAAGGGATGAAAAAAAATGGTTGAGGGTGAAAACCGGAAAAAATTGCTATATAACAGTTAGGGGAGTGTGACACATGTTTATTCATGGAATTTGGTGGCGCAAGAAACACCGAAAGAGGGTTTTAAGGGACGAAAACAATTGATGAGGGTGCAGAAGGGAAAAACTTGTTGAACAATGGCTAAATGGTTGTTCGCACGTGCTGATTCATGGTGTTGGCGGAGGAAGAAATATAGAAAATGATTTTAAGGGATGAAAAAACGGTTGAGCGTGCAGAAGGGATAAAAAATTAGTAAATTGACACACTTATTCTTGGGATTGGTGGTTTAAGGTGTATGGAGAAGTGATTTCAAAGGGCGAAAAGAATGTTGATGGTGCAGCAGGGTTAAACTGGTTGACACGTGAGTAAAGGGTTGGTGTGGATGCTTGTTTTTAAAATTAATGGATCAAGGAGTATGGGAAAGCGATTTCAGAGGGCGAAAAAATTGCTGAGTGTGCAGAAGGGTTAAACTTGATGGAAATTCGTTAAAGGGTTGATGTCGCATGCTTATTTATAAAATTTGTGGCACAAGAAGAAAGGGAAAGTGATTTTAAAGAGCGAAAAAGTATGGTGAGTGTGCAGAAGGGTTAAACTTGATGGAAATTGGGTGAAGGGTAGTTGTGGCATGCTTTTCTTGAAATGTGTGGCGCTAAATGTTCATGAAGGGGATATTAAAGAATCAAAAAATTGGTTGAGGGTGCATAAGTGTCAAACTCGATGTAAAATGGCCAAGGAGTGGTTAAAGGTGGTATTATAAGTGACGAAATAAGTGGTTGACGGTGCGAAAGGGTTAAACTTGATGGCAAATGTTTAAAGGGTGGTTGTGACATGCTTATATTCTCGGAATTGGTGGCGCGTTAGGTAAAGAAATGGGACTTTAAGGGATGAGAAATGTGCTTGAGAGTGGAGAAGGGTTACACTTGATAGAAAATGGTTCTTGGGTCTTTGCGACACTCCCATATTTGGAATTGGTGGACCAAGAAATATGAAGAAGTGATTTCAAAGAGTGAATGACATTGTCGAGGGTGCATATGGGTTGAACTGGATGGAAAATGGCCAAGGGGTGGTTTTGACAAGCCAATTCTTGGAATTTGTGTCGCAAAAAGTAAAGAAAGGGGACTTTAAGGGTTGAAATAAATGGTGGACCTGCTGGAAAATGGGTAAGGGGTGGTTGTGACATGCTTATTCTTGGAATTGCTGGCACATGAAGTGAAAAAAGGGGAAAGAAATAGTATTTTAAGGATTTTGCTTAACCTTTTGTCAGAGTCACGATTCGGGCAAGAATTTTATGCTACATTTGTGATTTAATTCCCGGTTAGTAGCAACTATTTTGTGCTAGATGTTTTTTCAAATCAAAGGTTGGCATTATTTTGTTAGTAGAACACTAAAAGCTGGTTATTTAACGCTAGCAGCTAGTGTTTATCGCAATGACTGTTTGTTATTCTTTGTTACTAATCTATAGTTAACAATACTACAATATTCTAAACAATACGGTTCTATTAAAATCAAAAATGAAACAAATAATAGACGTAAAGTTTATTGTGGAAATTCAAATACAAAAACTGAAAGGGAAACCCCCAAAGCTAAAGCTAACAGAATCGAAGATAGGTTTTCCAAAATTGTCTTTTTCGTATCACAATTTCAGCCTTAAGCTACTCCTAATTACCATAAGAGAAGGAAGTTAGTAGGAAGACGGTGGTGGTTTTTTTTAACGGCTTAATAGTCGCATTCGTATTCGGTTGTCTCTTCAAAGCTGTAACTCTTTGCGGATGACGTTTTGGTCGTGAGTACCTTGCGATTGCCCTCGGAGTATTCTTCGCGACTCTTCGCGTCGCTGCTCTTCGCCGAGGCGGCGGAGCTAGTCGTACCGGAAGTGCCGACTATTTTTGCGCTACCTTGCGCCTCGTAATCCTCCCGTTGCTCCTCATACTTGCTGGTGTCGGTGTCCTTCGAGATCTGCAAAATGTCTGGATTTAGTATACGCCAAAGTGCTTTGGTGATATAGGTACAAACCTCGGTGCTGGTCGACTCCTCGTCGGTATTAATCTCGCTCTCCACCACGTTACCAATGACAGACGGCGCCATCGCGGCGACCTGGTTCATTTTGTCTTCGACTGGTACCAATTCCATTTTTTCGGTTAGTTTTCTAAAACAGAACTCGAATTTTAAATTACGCCCGGCAGACGGCGTCGGAAAAAAAAACCTCTGGCAACGTTCCAAGCCGATCTCCGCAAATAACGTCAATTTCTTTGACTTAACAAAACGTTTATTGTACTATTTTTGCCAATTGAACGTTTAAAATTAGATTGAGAAAAACTTGCACCCTACCTTCTCTGCATGTTATCCCAAACGAAGTACGAGAGCACAACCAGCCCTCGCATCACTCGCTCATCGCACCTATTTTTCCATCCCCCCAAAAGTGTACAATTAGTAAACTGAGAGACACACTTATTACGTCATTAAATCTTGCGTGAAAATGGTCGTTAAAAACAAACATAAAAAATTCGTTTAACCCAGATAACAGCTGTTTAGATTAAAAAATTATTTATATATCAATTTCTGGGACGTTTCCCGTTTGGCGACATTTTCGGCGATAACTCAAAAACAATTGGCACGCGAAAATAAAAATTATTGGTTTTCAAAATATTTGTGCAGTTTTTGTGTACTCCGTAAATCACTTACATCTTTGTTGTTTTATGTCGTACTTATAAATTGTTTATAACTATTACGCCGTGGCCGCCAAAAATAGTGTTCAGTTGAGATTGTTTTTAACAATGTTTTCGAAGTTACCGTTTCGACCATGGCACTATTTTTCGATACTTTAAAATGCAATTCCTCTGAAAACGCTTAGCGCGGAATGTGAAATCCTCCTCGGCAGATACAATTTTTTGCGTCGCCTCTCCTCGCGTTATAGACAAACTTTACTAAAATTTACGAATTTTCATCCGGCCAATTAAGTAAGTTTAATTACCGGCAGCTAATCAGAGATGTTCTAGTAGTGAACGTATCCCTGGGTGATATGGAATACTCCCCAGTGTACGATGGTAAGATTATTGGCCCTTTCTTTTTCCTGGGGGGTAGCCCATACTCCTCTCTTGGCATCCCAGTTTTACATTCTTCCTCAGAATTTGTTTGGTGCCCTTTCAACTTTCACCATAATTTTTCAAAAGAGTTTTTATGGCGAACGTTTTAAGGATGAACGTACCACCGGTGATTCTGGGGGGGGGGGTATGTAATCCCCCAGACCCTCCGGTTCTACATTTTCCTCCAAAATGATTAGTACCCTTAGCACTTCCATGATAATTTTTCAAAAGAGATTTTAAGGCTGAACGTTCTGAGAGGGAACGTATCACCGTATTACGCTAGCTCCCATGTAATTCGTAGGGGAGGAACGAAGCAAACGAATTAATTATTAAAAATGATCGTTTTCATTAATAAGACGCCATTTTGTGGATGTTAATTAATTCAAAATGAATGGGTGGGGATTAATCGTGAGAGATTTTTGAAGGTATTCGTTTTTGAGCGTTAACCGTGCGACTCGAAGTAAATTTTAATTAGAATTACAGCTTCGAGGGCGAGAGAGACAGTAGCAATTTTGTGAGTAATCCAGACGAAGGTTTTTTTTCAAAGTGCAAAGTGTTGGTGTGCGATGAGGGACTGTTTTAGGTTGAAAAAGGCTGGAAGTTAATGAGACTTTAAATCAGAAACGAAGCCAGACATAATTAATTAGGATCACCCAAACTGAAGTAATTGAATTTAATTCATAAACGGAATCGGATTTAATTACTTAGAGACACAAAATCACGACACGCGGGGGGGAGAGGGGGTAAATTACTAAATTTAAATTAATTTGTGCAATTGCAATAATTAAATTTAATTCAAAATCAAAACTCGATTTAATTAATTAGGAGTCTTAAATTGTCTAAATTGTAGCAATTGAATTTAATTCGAAACTGAACCGGATTTTAATTAAAAATACAAAATTGCGCAACCGCGAGGAGGGATCAAGTACGTTTAATCCAGTAATTAGGCTAAGTTGCGTAGAAATTCTTCCCTTCTTTTCTAGATTGCAACAATTGAATTAAATTCAGAAACGAAACTGAAATTAATTAATCGGAAGTCTAAGCTCGTGTTCCAGAAGGGTTTGTGGGTTTCAAAATTTTAATTAAATTCTACTTACACTTAAACCAAGCGAGTAGAATTGAGTAATTATGTTAAGTTGCGAAGAATTTGTTCCTTTCCTTTGTATATTGTAGCAATTGAATTAAATTCAGAAAGAAAACCGGAATTAATTAATTGGAAGTGCAAGATCACTTTACGGAAGGGATCGTGGGTTTCAACATTTAAATTAAATTGTGCTTATACTTAAATCAAGTAAGACACAAAATCGCGTGACGCATGGGGGCGGGGGAGAGGGGGGGAGTGAATTACTAAATTTAAATTAATTTGTACAATTGCAGTAATTAAATTTAATTCAAAAACAAAACCCGACTTAATTAATTAGGAGTCGTAAATCATCTAAATTGAATTCAATTCGAAACTGAACCGGATTTTATTAATTAAAAATAGAAAATCGCACAACGGCAAGGGGAGAGGGTATGAAATACAACATTTATATTAAATTCTGCTTAAATCAAGTGCGCTTAATCCAGTAATTAGGCTAAGTTGCGTAGAATTTCTATCCTTCTTTTCTAGATTGCAGCAATTGAATTAAATTCCGAAACAAAACTGAAATTAATTAACCGGAAGTCCAAGCTCGTCTTACAGAAGGGTTTGTGGGTTCCAAAATCTTAATTAAATTCTACTTACACTTAAACCAAGTGAGTATAATTTAGTAATTGTTAAGTTGCGCAGAATTTGTTCCTTTCCGTTGTATATTGTAGCAATTGAATTAAATCCAGAAACAAAACTGGAATTAAGTAATTGCTTTACGGAAGAGTTCGTAGGGTTTCAAAATTGAAATTAAATTTTGCTTACACTTAAATCAAGGAATCAAGTGATGAGGAATCCAGTAATCAGTTCCGCAGAATTTATCTTTTTGCCTCCCAAATGTTAGAAATTGATATGAATTCAGAAACAAAATTGGCATTACTTAAATTGGGATCCAAGATCGCTTCATGGGTTTCAAAGTATTGGATTAAGTGTCTCAAATGATCCTAATTTGCAGTAATTAAATTTAATTCTGAAACGAAACTGGATTTAATTAATCCGGGGTGCTAAATCGCCTAGATTGAAGGGATAGAAATTAATTTTGAAACGGAACCGGATTTATTGAAGTAAGGATACAAAATAGCGTAACGATGGGGGGGGGGGGAGACAGGTTGATGAATTACTCAAATCAGTAGTTGGATTATTCTGCAAATTTTGTGTCAAAACGTCCTCAGTTGCAGTAATGAAATTTAATTCAAAAAGGAAGCCGGACCTTAATTAATTAGGAGTCGTAAATCATTTAAATTGAAGCAATTGAATTTAATTCAAAAATGAAGCTGGCCATTTAACTAGTTAGGAATACAAAATCGCTTAACGTGATGGGGGGGAGGGGGGTGGAGGTTGGTGATTTACTAAATTTAAATGAATGAATTAATTAGGAGTCTCAATTCCTTGAATTGAAACAAATGAATTTAATTAAGAAACGAAACCGGATTTAATTAGTTAGGGATACAAAATCGCGTAATTTGAGGGGGTGGAAGTTGGCAAATTACTAAATTTAAATTAAATTGTGCATACAATTACATGCATACATTATATCAAGTTTAATTCAATATTTGGATTAAGTTCTGCAAAATTGAAGTCAAAAGTGCAGTGATTAAATTTAATTTGAACACGAAAACGGACTAGATTAATTAGGAGTTCTAATTCACCTAAATTGAAGCTCTTGAATTTCATTCCGGAACGAAACCGGCATTAATTAGTTAGGGTAACAAAATTTAAATTAAATTGGGCGTACACTTACATCAACCGAGTTTAATCTATTAATTGGGCTAAGTTGTACAGAATTTGTTCTAAACTGTCGAATTTGAAGTAAGTCCGGAGACGAAATTGGAATTAATTAATTGGGGTTGAAAGATCGCTTTACGGAAGGATTCGTAGGCTGCAAAATTTAAATTAATTTCTGCTTGCCATTAAATCGAGTGCGTTTAATCAAGTAATTGGGTTAAGTTTCGTAGAATTTGTTCCTAACTTGTAGCTATTTAATTAAGTTTAATTTTGTGTGAAAACGTCTTTAATTTCAGTAATTCTTCGGAAATGGAACCGGATTTAATTAATTAGCAATACAAAATCCCGCAACGGGGGAGTTCGTAAATTTCTACACTTAAATTAAATTGGCCATATACTTACATCGAGCAGAGTTAATCCAATAATTGCACTAAGTTGCGGAGAATTTGTGTCACAACGGTTTAATTTGTAGTAATTAAATTTAAGTTTGAAAAAGAAACATTAATTAGGGATGGAAAATCGTGCATCGGTCCACTTCAAGTTGGACTAAGTTCCTAGGATTGTCCGTCTTCAATTAGAGCAATTAATATTCAGAAACGAAACCGGATCTGATTAATTAAAATGGGGTATAGTGAGAATTTCCGCATGTAGAGATTAAAGACAACGCCTTTGATCTTAAATTAGCTGTAATTAGAGGCTTAATTTTTTGCTAGAGGCTTCCTTTAATTAAATTTCGCGAATTTATGTATTCACGCAGAATGTGCTTTTAATTCAGCCGTAAAACTAGGGCACACTTTCGTCCAATTAATCACGGATTTACACTTTCTTGATTAATTGCCAATTCTAATGGAAATTGAGATCAATTAATTAACTTTGGATTTCGAAATTATGTAATTATTTGAGCGAGCGAAATCTGGAAAAGGTCAATTATGGGCCCATTTGGCTGTCATCAATTGTGCCTGGCTCTTTTCGCGTTATTTTAAAATTTGTTTGAGGTCAGAATAAATTATGATCTAAAATTAATACTTAGGAAAACAAAACCAGATGTTGATTGAAATTGGAGGGTACCTCCCTACGTAGCTTTTGGTTAAGATTTAGGATCGCCTACCTGTTGACGATAGGTGTCACAGCTGACTTTGGCGCGCGAAATTTGAACGGTCGTGGATTAAGTCTGCGAATTCGCCCCAAAAAGTAAATGTGGAGCAAATATTTTGTTGCGCAACATATTTTGTAACGCTTTCCAAGAACTTGTAAATTTCTTTCGATCAGCTTATAAATTTAGCTAAAGTATTTCTGTTGTTCTTGGATGAATGAAACGTTGGTAATGCCCTCAATGTTTAAACTTAGCAATTATCTCGTCCTTGTTTACATGTTGGCAACTGCCCTTCAATCATTACTATTTTAAAATCGATCACCACAATTATATCATCGACTCGATCGTACGCACGATTTACGATCGCCAACTGTTCCATCGGGGAAACGCGGGACGACAGACAGACACAGTGGGTGAAGGAAATGATTGACAAAAGAACTCACCCGCTCGTCGATCTCTTAAAAATCATATTACACAAAACCACCCAGGCGTAAGCAAGCAATTGACCGAGCATCTTTTTTCCCCCCAAAAAAAAATAGCGAGCGCTAAGAACTCGAAATAGAAAAATTGAAAAAGCAGCGTGAACTGAATTTTGTAACAAGCGTACAACTCACAGACAATAATCACGACATGTTTCTACCACAAGTACACTGAAACTTGCGTACTGCCAGCCGAAAAAGCTCTCGACTTCACTTGATCCAATTTTGGATCAGCAGGAAGCGCATGTACGAAACTTAGAATATTATAATCTAGACGCGACCGGCTCGAGTTATTAAATTTTTCGTCGCGAGCTTCCGAGTTCTTCATTTTGTGACGTTCTAACGTATCCAATGCAACGAATTTTTTAATGCTTTCCATTCGGTTCCATTTCAAGTACTTTTCAGGTCATTGTTGTTTCTTAACTTTTCCGCTCCTCGAAATTTGTAGAAAATGCACATGGAGCCCCCAACGAGCCCTGGAAAGGGCATCTGAGATCTTTAGACTCCCGGAAAACTCGTTGAGGGCTTTTGTAGGGTCTCAAAACCTTTAGAAAGAAAATTAGGGAACAATCATCCTCTGTTGAAAATTTATGCCATTTCCAAAACAACCTTTCGAGACAGTTAGTCTCTAGGCATACAGATTGGGTAGGTTTAATATGCTTTAAAAATCGCTGCAGAAAAGCGTGTTTCCGGAGCATATTTCCCAAGACTGTTCTAAGAGGTTTCCAGGGAGTCATAGTGCCTTCCACAGCATTTTAGTGCTCTGCTGATCACCCTTCAACTGCTGGAATACGCAAAACCACTTTTAGCTATTTTTAGAGGGTCTTTCAAGTATATCTTTGGACCTATCCAGAGATTTCTGGGGGGATTACCAAGGCCTCTCTAAAGGTATCGGTATCAGAATCAAATTAGTCTTTGAAATCGCTCAGGAACTCTAGAACCCCCCCAGACCCCCCGGTGACCTTTAAAACCTTAAGCGCTAAAGGCCATTTTCAGAAATTATCATATAAAAGTTAAGTGACTGAAACATTTTGGGGAAGAATATCTAACCGGGGGGTCTGGGGGGTATGGAATACCCCCAGTATACGAAGGTATTATGCTACTTCTGGGGGAACGTAATGGGGTCTGGGGGGTTTAGAGTATTAAACAGAAATAGAAAAGATTCAAAGTGAATTTCCCTACAAAGCTCTGCTTTATGTGCTGGGGGGTATTCCATACCCCCCAGACCCCCCGGTGATACGTTCACCTTTAAAACCTTAAGCTCTAGGGGCCATTTTCAGAAATTATCATATAAAAGCTAAGGGACTGAAACATTTTGGGGAAGAATATCTAACCGGGGGGTCTGGGGGGTATGGAATACCCCCCAGTATACGAAGGTATTATGCTACTTCTGGGGGAACGTAATGGGGTCTGGGGGGTTTAGAGTATTCCACAGAAATCGAAAAGATTCAAAGTGAATTTCCCTACAACTGAGATGAGCTCTGCTTCGTATGCTGGGGGGTATTAATACCCCCCAGACCCCCTGGTGATACGTTCACCTTTAAAACCTTAAGCTCTAGGGGCCATTTTCAAAAATTATCATATAAAAGTTAAGGGACTGAAACATTTTGGGGAAGAATATCTAACCGGGGGGTCTGGGGGGTATGGAATACCCCCAGTATACGAAGGTATTATGCTACTTCTGGGGGAACGTAATGGGGTCTGGGGGGTTTAGAGTATTCCACAGAAATCGAAAAGATTCAAAGTGAATTTCCCTACAATTGATATGAGCTTTCCTTCGTATGCTGGGGGGTATTCCATACCCCCCAGACCCCCCGGTGATACGTTCACCTTTAAAACCTTAAGCTCTAGGGGCCATTTTCAAAAATTATCATATAAAAGTTAAGGGACTGAAACATTTTGGGGAAGAATATCTAACCGGGGGGTCTGGGGGGTATGGAATATCCCCCAGTATACGAAGGTATTATGCTACTTCTGGGGGAACGTAATGGGGTCTGGGGGGTTTAGAGTATTAAACAGAAATAGAAAAGATTCAAAGTGAATGTCCCTACAACTGACATGAGCTCTGCTTCGTGTGCTGGTGGGTATTCCATACCCCCCAGACCCCCCGGTGATACGTTCACCTTTAAAACCTTAAGCTCTAAAGGCCATTTTCAGAAATTATCATATAAAAGCTAAGGGACTGAAACATTTTGGAGAAGAATATCTAACCGGGGGGTCTGTGGGGTATAGAATACCCCCAGTATAGGAAGGTATTGTTACATCTAGCGAAATGTACCTAAGGGGGTCTGGAGGGTGTGAAGGATTGAAAGTTCATTTTATTACAACTCATATAAGCAGAGACTTGCTCATATAAGCCCTCCTTCGTATACTGGGGAATTTTGGGGAAGATTGTAAAACAGGAGGGTGTGTACGGTCCCTCCAGTATACGAAGGTATTATGCTTCTATGGGGGGTGTGGAATACTCCCCACGAAAAATAAGATATAAAGTTCATTTCCCTACAACTGATTTAAACCCTCGTTCGTAGATCGGGGGGGGGGGGTATTCTATACGCCCCAGACCGCCCGGTGATTCGTTCACCCTCAAAACCCTCAATTCGAAAGGCCCTTTTCAAAAATAATTATGTAAAACGAACAATTTTGGGGAATAACGTAAAACCGAGAGGTCCGGTGGTATGGAATACCCCAGTACACGAAGGAAGGTATTATTTTACTTCTAGGGAACGGAACAGTGTTGTTTTGAATTAGAATTATGCCCACTGTGCCCAGTTAGCGCATAATTTTCGCATTTACGATTCGATGAAACGTACATATTTCAAATTGAGGTGCAAAGCTAGCCCTCCCCTTTCCATTTGAAGTCACATATGGGTTACATCTGATATTAGAAAATCTGAAATCAGAAAATGTGCAACGTTGCCGTGTTTCGGTTGTCAAATTCTGACCATCATCAAGGTCGAAGTCTAAACTTCACCCTTTGCTAGGAGTGCGACCCATCATTTTAGGGTAGTTTTTTCTGGCAAATTCAAATATGATGCCTTCGCACGTCTATTGCCCTATTTGACCCCCTCAACCCCCCCAAGCCTCAAAAATTGTGGCGAAACATCTATAAAAACTTTCGAAGAATGCGTTTTCTAGCATATTGAAAAATACACCGCCCCAATGAAATAAAGCTTGCTGCGCGGCCTAATTAAAATAGCGCTCTAAGAGTAAAGACCACAATATTCTATTTCCGACGTTCGGGTTCCGTTGTTGGGTATTAACGCGGACGCTGTCGCGTTTATATAAATTTAGTCTTTGCCAAGAATTCCCAACTTTTAAACGGTCTGCTAAACTTTGCCAAAAGGCATTGTTTGTTTATTACAAAGCAGAGGCGCGCGATCAATCACTCGAAATTTTGGAAAAAAATCGCGCGCGCGGGAGGACGCACGCCACTGTGCGGAGTTTTAAAAATACCTCTATCTTCAAACAGGAGTATTTTTAATTGTAATTTCGTCTACGCCTAAAATAAAAAGCCCCCTCTTTGAAAACAATTTTAAATCCATCGGCGAGCCGTGACGTTACGGCATAACCTCAATTTTAACGACATAAAAAAAATTGTTGCGATATTAATCGCTAATGGAGCGAAGCGATTGCCAATGGCCTCCTCCCGCACCGCGCGCGCTAATAAATCATCCCCGAAATACTCTTTTTTCTTTTGATAAATGATGCACAAGTTTTTCTCAATCCTGTTTGTACAAAAAGCTACGAACACACACAAACTAAAAAGTACTTACGTTTGGTAAAGCGAGGTATACAATACTGGTACCTTGTAGGTGTTTCTGGGCTTATTTTAAAGAGTGCGATGGATGACTAATGCCGTCGCGACGTTTACGCTGACTAACGTCTTGTCCGAGTTATGACGAGAAAATCCGAATTATTTGTTGTTTACCTAAACGCCTTTTTTTCGTTCTCTCGGGCGTAGGCGGATATGCACTTACGAGTAAATTGCGGAGGCTGATTGGATTCCAATCGATCTGAATCGGCCCGTGACGGGCTTTCTTCTTGGAACAAGAAAAAAATTGTCGCTATTTATGGATCGGCTATAATTAGAAGAAAGCGGAAGTCTGGAAGCTGTGCGTTATTAAAGGGACATCTTCCTTAACAACGGAAGCCATCATTTTTATGGTTCAAAGGCCCTTAGATTGCACGATTTTTTTTGGCATTAAAATCAAAACGGCGGAAATGAAACAAGTCCAACGCAGAGAAGCACCCAGGCACGATTGCCAGAAGTCAGACGCGGCGTATGACCGGTCCAACTGGAAGTCCAGACTAAAGACAACATCCTCGTGTTTGTGCCGTGCGAGGCGACCCGCAATAGGGGATGAACGGATCCTGGTACTGGTACAGGAATGTCGCTCTCGAATTCTGGGTGAGGCGATTAAGCGATTGCCTATCCTAGAAGAACGATCGGAATTCATGTGAGGGAAAAACTATCACCCCTTTCTTGATGTGGATGTGGGATCTCAACTAGACATCCATCTTCACGGATGGATTTAAAACAATGGTATTTTCTCAAAAGAACCGAACCACCACACCACCCAACCACTAGGAGCATTAGACGCACTTTCTGCTATAATCCAATCAGAATTGGTAGGACTAACGCCGATGCAGGACAAAAATAACAATACTAGCAGAATCGCCAATAACAACAGGACTGCCCCACTCGCAGTTGGTCACTCTCAAATTACCTCCGAATTACTTCCGAATGCCACCAGCCAGGAGCAACATCCAGCAATCCAGAAGTCATCCATCACCTTGAAGTACCGGTACAAAATGGGATTGTTGCAGCTTCCGGTACATCGTATAGAAGTTATGATTTTCCAGAAGAACCATGCGAAGACAGGACAGAGCCAGAAAGAGAAAGAAAAAAGTTCATTCTGTGATCCTGATAGTAGCAATCAACATTTCAAGTTAGAATAGGATATTACGATATACTAATCAAAAGAAAAAATCAGAGAATTAACCATACCGACTTTATTAAAGTTGATTCCTTCATTAATCCTGTGATCCTGATAGTAGAATACTTATACTACCAAGTAATTTTCAAAATCCATTATCTCAAAATCAATAATCTCGAAACACAACGATTT